TACAACATGAAGAGGTAAATTTAATATAATTATTAGAAATTATATAAATTTTAGAGATATTAAAACTTTTTCCAATATTTTTTTAAATATTTTAATTTATTTAATTAAATAATTTAAAATATTTGTTTGTATAATGGTAAAAAACTACTTATCCTACTATTTTATACATTTTAAAAGTATTTTCATAGTCCCACAATAAAATTTTATGGATTGTTTAAAGACAATAATAACACTGCTAAATATAATTAAAACCAGTTTTTATATGAAGTCATCTTTGCCAATTGAATTTTTACTGGCATAATAATGATGCTTATTTTTGCAAATTCTCTTTTGATAATACATCAAAATTATCAAAGTATTATTTATTGATTATCATTTTGAAGAGATACTTTATACTATATTTATAAATTATGTTTAAATTCATATAGTACATTTCTATAGAGGTTATAGAATAATCAAATAATTTATTTATTCAATGAATAAATCATCAAAATTTATTATTCTTAATAAAAATATTTATAAAAAATTTAATTGATGTAATGTATTCTTAAACCTTCAATAATTATTAATTGGCTGGAGATAGTAAAAAGAACTGTTTAGAATTTTTTTAGAAAGCTTTATAATTTTTTATAGTAATAAATAAATATTGTTACTAAAATGACAAAACGTTAAAAATTCTAATTAAAAGCATTTGTAAAGTTTCAAATTCAAGTTTAATATAAAAGGAAATCAATTAGTCATTTATAATCTAAGTCCTTGGATATCAAAATACATTTATTATGTTGCAACATCCTTGCACTCATGAATTGGAACAATAATGCAGAATGCTTACTATACCAACTTTTTAGCTTTGATATTTTCTTGAAGAAAGCCAGTTTAAAAGGAAAAGAAACATCTAAGCCAGAAGCTGCATTCCCTGTCTCCAGCTTCAAGTAGTTTGGATTTCCTTGTGCTCGTTTGCCAAGAATCACGCGATGCTGCTCCTACCCATCGAGGCAAATCGTGACGGGTTTTGACCCCTAAAAAAGAAAATTTTCTTTCTTACTAATTTGGGTAGCAATTTCTATCCGAAGGCCTAAGGTCATCTGAATCTGCTTTGAGTTTTCATTGAGTCCTTCCACTCAAAGCAGTGAGGCTTTTAGTTGCCCAAGAAACTGATAAACTGCTGTGAGTGAAATTGGTGTCAGTGTAGCTGGAAAGAACAACAGGATCAAGGAGGTACTGCAAACGAAAGAAGAGGCTATACTGTTGATATCCACATAGCTGGTATAATATTTCTGGTAGCATGGTTTTTCTCTGGTCTTTGGAGGTGGTACGTGTTCTCCTGGGCCTTCAAGAAATATTTCTGGGCGTGACTTTGAATCTAGCAACAAAAGAACAAGGAAAAACAATGAGAACTTGCACCTGGATCATGCCAACAAAGGGCTCAATCTTATTCCAATCTAGATCAGATAAACTATGCCAGACTTGTTCATGACTTTGTGATTATAGCAAGCACACACATTGTTCACAGATGTCAGGAGTTTAATGCCCACTCCTTTGGTCGCCCCCTAACATGGGCATAATATTTTTATTTTACATTCTTTATAATCTCCAACGAATCCTCCAGGAGACCTGCCAATAGATGAGCTATGCTAGCTTCACAAACCCCACGAAGAGCTCCAGTAGCGTCAGTCCTTGGTGACAATTGCCTGCTAGGAGCAATCCACAAGGACCAGATTGCGAGTTTAGCAAAATTATGATTTTGGTGTGTTGGTATCCAACTTACAGCTATTCCTTGATTGACTAAACGTGAAAAGTTTTTGTTTCTTCTGGTGATAATAAGTTGCGACTTCACAGAAAATCTATCTATCTATATTCTGTTTTGGCAGTTTCAACAAGAAGCATGAGACTGTGCAAACAAGTTTGCAAGTTTGTAATGGGGTCTTCTCACTCCCTCCACTCCCACCCTCACGTTCTTCAGGCCACTCTGAGGTCCTAAGATGCTAAAGGTAAATCCTCCAGCCCTTGGACTTTGAACATTAAAGCTGGACTGGAAGAGGTATAACTTGAATTTCTAACATGCCATAGATGTGAAGTTTCCAGCGACTGTTACGTGTTAGACTGGATAGGTTTTTATTTTCCTTTGCATACTCCGCCACGATTGTCATCACATTGCAATGCAACAAACAATTCCACACATAAAAGTCCAAGCTACGTCCATCAAAGAAATCAATGGAGTTCCTCTGGATTGGTTTTGCGTCTTTCATTGCTCTCGTATTCCTTAAGCTTGTCAGTGGCAACCGAGGCAGCCGTAGCAAATCGCCACCATCTCCGCCGGGACTTCCAATCCTCGGCCATCTCCATCTCCTCGGTAAGCTCCCCCACCAGTCCTTGCAGAAGCTCTCCCAGAGGCATGGCGGCCTCATGCTTGTCAAGCTCGGCGTCCACAACACGCTCGTTCCTTCCACCACCGAGGCCGCCAGGGAGCTCCTCAAGACGCAAGATCATGTCTTTTCTTCCAGGCCCAGGACGATTGCGGGCGAGAACTTCGGGTATGGAGGAGCTGGGATGGTCTGGGCCGCCTATGGCGATCACTGGAGGAGCGTCCGGAAGCTGTGCACTCTGGAGCTCCTCACTGCGAAGCGAGTCGAGATGTTCCAGCAAGTCCGGAAGGCCGAGATGTCGATGCTCTTGAAGGAGATCCAAAGTTCCCAGATGAGTTCTGTGGAGCTCACGTCCAAGCTCCTGGATCTCACTTTCAACTTCATGACGAGGATGGTGATGAACCGGAGCTACTCCTCTGGGAGCTCCGCTGAGAGGGAACTCGCGGTAAGGTTCAAAGACTTGATCACGGAGGCGTTCACGGTGGCTGGAAGTACACTCTGGCCGACTTCTTCCCATATCTGGGATGGATGGACGGCCAAGCCAAGAAGATCTGCGCGATCCACAAGCAGCTCGACGAGTATCTGGCCAAGCAGATCGTCGAGCACCGCCAGCAGCCGGGAACCAACAGAGATTTCCTGGACATGATGTTGGCCAGAAAAGATCTCAGCGATACTTCCATCAAAGCTCTCTGCCTGGTATGTAAACTGTTCCGTGTTCTTCCTGTCATTGACGTAACTTCGTAGGATATGATCGCTGCTGGGACCGACACTGCTGCTGTCACGGTGGAGTGGGCTCTAGCCGAGCTCGTAAACAATCCAGCAATGATGCTTCAAGTTCAGGAGGAACTCAAAGAGGTTGTCGGAGAGAACCGGGCCCTGGACGAGACTGATCTTCCAAAGCTGACTTTCCTCCAAGCCATCGTCAAGGAAACACTGCGCCTCCACCCTCCAGGGCCCCTGAGCATTCCCCATCAATCCATCCAAGCTTGCGAGCTGGAGGGTTACGTGATTCCAGCAGGAACTCACGCGCTCGTCAATGTCTATGCCATAGCGAGGGACCCGAGGTGGTGGGACGAGCCTCTCAAGTTTGATCCCGAGCGGTTTCTTCGGCAGCCGGACATCGATGTAAGAGGCCAGAGCTTCGAATTGCTGCCGTTTGGATCGGGAAGGAGGAGCTGCCCGGGGATCCTCCTGGGGACTACCACCGTCCAGTTCGTGCTCGGAAGCTTGCTTCATGCGTTTGACTGGGCTGCGCCGGATGGCAAAGAGTTGGACATGGCGGAGAAGTTTGGTCTTAGTGTTCCCAGAGCTTCTCCACTCAGGCTGGTGCCGTGCACACGCTTGAACCCACAGGCATACATTTGATTGTCAAAATAAAACACACTTTTATTGCAAGTTCTCGCGATCTTCATTGAATTTGAGTTGAATCTGCAAAGATTTGGTGAGGACAATCATCGTAGCGCGAGAAAAGAAACCTGTGCAAGTAGAGAATCGTGATTCGCGATCCTTCGGCGACCTGGAATAACAAGCGGACAGACATTTTCCTTTTCCTTGTTTTTTTTTTTTTTCCGTAAGATGGCTGACCTCGCACTTCAGGAATCCTACAGCAAAAGTTTAAGAAAAACAAGACATAGAAAGCGAACTCCATACCTGCAAGAATGGAAGCTTGTATGGCAAACTTAAGTTCAGTTCCTCCAGTGTTGGAAGCTGGGTATAGAACATCTTGATCACTGCGCAGCTGATTTTCATTCCTTTGAGACCGAGCTCCCACTGTCTGGAAATGTTCCTCCAAGTTCCAGGAACTCTATCCGGCCTCGGAACGAGCAAAAGGTCTGGAGGAAAGTTTCCCTGTTCGGAGGAACTCCTTCCAGAGCTTGGATTTTCTTAGAGTCGCCAGCTTGACCACACGCAGCTATGGCGGCGTTCCAAAACTTCTCTTCGATTCCCTCCAAAGTTTTCCTCGCGTCTTCCACACTGCCGATTTCCCATACGCCGGAATCAATCCATCCCAGCAGCATTCCTTCACTGAAAACTCTCTCATGGATCACTCGGATGATCGCAGTGGCGCCGATCTCGCCGCAAGCCTCCACGACTCCGCAGAGCGTGAAGCTGCTGGGCTTGATCCCTTCCACCGCCGTCTCTCGAAACGCTTGCAATGCCTAAACAAAATCCCCGCTCTGGGAAAATGCACGCTCCAGCAGCCACGATTCCAGCATCGGTCGTGATGAATCCCGGAGATTCCTGTCGTCGATCACGCCAGCCCTCTTGACGGAATCCAGTGCCCGTGCAACATCGCTCGCGCGCTTGGATTGCGAAATCAGCTCCACCTGGTTGCGTGTGACTCGCGCTTACCGCTCCCTGCGAAGCTGCGCTGGATCGCGTGCGTACCATGGCGGATTTTGCTTCCCGCGACCTGCGATTCCCGCGCTTGCGATTCTCTCGCGACTGGAGGAGGATGTGATCCACGCGACGACACCGCGGCTGGAGAAATGCGCGAAGCCTAGCCTAGAGTTCTAAGTTAAACTCCACGCATATCCTTTAAGGATTTTTTTATTTAATAAATTTATATTTCTTAAACTTAAGAAAAACAGAACTTTCTTTCTTACCTTTAACAATTGAGTATAGAACTCTTTCTCAAGTCTGACTCACTCCAGCGCGAAGGGCTTCAATCACTTTCTCGTCAACTTGGAGAGCTGCTTCGATCACTTCGTTCAGATTATCAGATTCTGGAGTTTGGAAAAGAGCCCTGGCCACATCCGTGCGACCAGGGTTTTGACTCCCAAGAGTGGCGATCGCGAGAGCGCTGACCGGGTCAAGGTTCCGCTGGAAGTGGACAAGCCCTCGAGGAAAGACAAACAAGTCCCCGGGATACAAAACCTTCTCGAACAGCCTGTTGGAAGTCGTCACAAACCCAGCGTAGATGCGTCCCTGGAGGCAATATATGACCTCGGATGATCGGGGATGGACGTGGGGAGGATTCACTCCGAATGGACCGAATGAGAGGCGGGCGATGGAGAGTCCTTGCGTGTTGAGGCCTGGGAACATTGTGATATCGATCAGCTGGACCATGATGTTGAGAGTGTTGGTGGTGTTTGCAGGCTCCCGGAGGATGGTGGAGGTGAAATCGTCGGCGGTCACGGTGCTGGGATCCTTGCAAGGAACTCCATTGATGAAGACTCTGGAGTTGGGATCCTCAACGCAGACGTCTTGGAGGGGATCTTCATCACCCCGCACGACTACAACATTGGCAATTGCGAAAACTGCAATAAGAGCAACAAAAACTTGGGAAAACTTAGCCATTGAGGTGTTATTGATTGATCGATGCAGAGATGCTTGGGAGGAAGGCTTTGGTATGCGTATTTATACAGGGGAATTGTCCGTACATTCCTCTTATTCTAGCTGTAGAGCATTTGAAATCGCACTTCGTTGCCTACACAAAAGACTTTACAATCGAACACTTGGATTCAATGGCTTCAAAGAAGCAGCGCTGTCCGTACACATAAGCTTTCGTATACTGATTAGCACACTATTTACGGGAAGTAACAGATCGCCAACTTAACATAGGACTGAGTTAAGAACATCCATCTAATATGTGCCCAATGCATCTGGACATGCTTGCTTTTAGTGCCTAACGTGTTCGCTATTTCCTATCTTCTAGCAGTGAGATTGTGTTCATGCGTTGTGTTACAAAGATTTTGATTATTTTTATTAGCTACTGTCAAAGATATAAAATTCTACATGCATGTTCTATATATCATGTAGAATTTTTAAATAGAAGTTTATTCTAGTGTGACTTTTTTCCAACAAAGTGTCTTATAGTGGATATCATGGTGGACAGATATAAAACAATTTCTCATTAGATATATAAATTACCTCTTTTCCATTTGGCTGTAAAATTATAAAATCTGCCATAACATAGGGATAAACAGGATTCATGCTTGCAAGGAACGGCACAAAATTCTTGGAGAAAGAATGAGCATGAGGAAGAAAAACTACGAGAGGGAATCCATGGCCACCTTGCACTGCTAAACTTAAACAATGAAGTACAATCGAAAGGACTTCTGAGCACCACTAGAGTCCTCCGCTCTGCCAATTGAGTTAAGATCGGATTTCCTTGTTAATTGCAACTTTTGCAAAACATTTATTAGTTTGACTCTCTGACTCAAGTGCGGCTCACTCCACGACGTAAGTTATCAATCTCATTTTCGTCAACCTGCAAAGCTGCCTCAAGAACTTCATTCATGATGTTTGGTGTGGTCTGGAACAACGCTCTAGCCATGTCTGTTCTTCCCGGGTTTTGGCTTCCAAGCGCAGCCACCGCAACAGTGTCCAAGTTATCCAGGTTTCGCTGGAAGTGAACGAGACCCCTGGGAAAGATGAACAGATCACCGGGATGCAAAACCTTTGCAAACAATTGGTTGGAAGTTGACACAAATCCAACGTAGAGGTGTCCCTGGAGGAGCCAGATGACCTCGGACGCTCGAGGATGGTTGTGTGGAGGATTCACGCCAAATGGACCAAATGCCAGGCGAGCAATAGAGAGTCCCTGTGTGTTGAGGCCTGGAAACATTGTAATATCGATCAAGTCGACTTGGATTCGCAGTGTGTTGTTTGTGACTGGACCCTGGCGAAGGATGGTGGAGGTGAAGTCATCGGCAGTGACTGTGGTGGGATCTTTGCAAGGGACTCCGTTGATGAGAATATTGGAGTTTGGATCCTCCACGTAGAAATCCTGGAGAGGATCCTCATCACCCAAAACTCCAATAATACCTAAGCACAGAAAGAATGCCACCGTGACAATTTTGATGAAAGCCATTGCTATAGAACACTCAATGTCGTGAAATCTCAAGAAGGAACTAAGTGGTGTGAACCTGTGGCCTCTGCTCGCTGGTATTATTCGCAGAAATGGCATCGAGAGATCATTTTTAATTGTTTCTCATGGTCACGTATACATTCTTAGACCCATGCAGAGCCAACAATATGTCATGTCACCCGTTGGCGTGAAGTAGTGGATTTTGAGTGAAAGAGCTCAAAAGAAGAAAAGTCGTGAAAGGCAGCAATCTAAAGTTCGGAGACTTATAAACCGGGAAGAATATCTGCCTCTACCAGCCGAAAATCTCCACAGTAAACAGTGGACACTTTGAAAAAGGTTGATATAGATCCAGGCAAGAAAACCTTATGACTCGATTCATCCAGTTGGTTTGACGGCCTCTTTTCCTCTGCTGTGGTAGACCGGTTCTAAACAAAACGTGTGTGTGTAACTCTTGTAGCTTTGTCGGCTGTTTCACATGTGCGAAACTCTGGTTCGCATGTGAGTTCATAACCCACACCGGGTTTCTTAGTTTTTGTAAAGCACACAAATACTAGAAATTGAGTTCTTTTTTAGAGATCACAAAAACTGCAAATAACTTGAAAGTTTAACTAAGAGTTTATATTTGCTTACTTATTGTTTTGAGCTCAACTAGTAAGTTAGAACTCAACTTTGGACCATACTCATATTTATATATAATTTGAAAAGCTTGACTGGAATGCATAACCTTGCTATCAAAGGATATCAGCGACAAATCCGTCTTTATAGAATTCTATCACGTAGACATTAGCGACTAATGGATAGGCTTTGTATTTGACTTGCTTAGCCCACCACAACACATAGCAATGCACATACAAGTCGAAGTTCATACTTCCAGTGTGCCTGGAAGGAGTTCCTTTGGATTGTTTTTGCGTCTTTCATTGCTCTCATCTTCCTTAAGCTTGTCAGTGGTAACCGAGGCAGCGGTAGCAAATCGCCACCATCTCCTCCGGGACTTCCATCCTCAGCCATCTCCATCTCCTCGGCAAGCTCCCCCAACCAATCCTTGCAAAAGCTCTCCCAGAGACATGGCGGCCTCATGTTTCTCAAGCTCGGCATCCACGATACGCTCGTCATCTCCACCGCCAGAGGCCGCCATGGAGCTCCTCAAGACGCTAGATCACGTCTTCTCTTCCAGGCCCAGGACGATTGCCAGCGAGAACTTCGGGTATGGAGGAGGTGGGATGATCTGGGCCACCACTGGAGGTGCGTCCGGAACTGGAGCTCCTCACTGCCAAGCGCGTCGCGATGTTCCAGCAAGTCCGGAAGACCAAGATGTCCATGTTCTTGAAGGAGCTCGACGCGCTCACGGTGTCTGGAAGTATCGCTCTGGCTGACTTCTTCCCGTATCGGGGAATCCTTGATTGACATGCTCGTAACTTCGTAGGATATGATCGCTGCTGGGACCAGGAGGAGCTGAAAGAGAAAACCGGGCCTGGACGAGACTGATCTTCAAAAGCTGACTTTCCTCCAAGCCATCGTCAAGGAAACATTGCGCCTCCATCCCCCAGGGTCCATGAGCATTCCTCACTAATCCATGCAAGCTTGCGAGCTGGAGGGATACGTGATACCAGCAGGAACTCGAGCGCTCGTCAACATCGCCTCTCAAGTTCGATCCCGAGCGGTTTCTTCGGCAGCCGGACATCGATGTGAAAGGCCAGAGCTTCCAAGTGGATCGGGACGGAGGGGCTCTCCGGGGATTCTGCTTGGGACTACCACGGTCCAGTTCGTGCTCGAAAGCTTGCTCCATGCGTTTGACTGGGCTGTGCCAGATGGCGAGGAGTTGGACATGGCGGAAAAGTTGGCCTTTCAGTTCCCAGAGCTTTTCACTCAACAAGCTTGAATCCACAGGCATGCAATTGATTCTTTGCAACATGGTTTCTCGAGAGAAATATAAAATAAAACACACCTTTATCAATGCGAGTTCTCACTACGTTGTTTCCTGCGTTCTTCATTGAATTTGAGTTGAATCTGTAAAACTTTGGTGAGGGCAATCTTCGTAGAACAAGAAAAGAAACCTCTGCAAGTAGAGAATCACGATCCCAGAGAGTATCATCTTCGTCAACCTGGAGTAACAAACTGTGAGACTTTTTCTCCTTGTGTTCTAAGACGGCTGACCTCCCACACTGGCAAAAGATTCTTTAGAAGTGGCCTCAGATCGACCTCGGAGTTCTATAGCAAAAGTATTAAGAAAAACCAAGACATGGAAAGCGAAATCCGTACCTCAAAGAATGGAAGCTTGTATGGCAAACTCGAATTTAGTTCCTCGATTGTTGGAAGCCTGGAATTCGGCTGGATATTTGTCTGTGTGTCCTCTAAAAAATTTAGAACGAGAATGAAAAAAGGGAAGAGCTTGCCTCAGGAGTAGTATCATCATCAAGGTCGACCTCAGGGATTTCTTGGCGTTCTAGCAGAAAAACCACTTCAATGTAGTGAAGGAGAGAAAGAAAGACAGTTACCATTCTCTGGCCTGATAGAAACGAACTTGATAGAGTGAACGAAGAAGAAGAAGAAGAAGAAGAAATCATCACGCACCGGAGATTCTTGCCGCTGCTGCTAGTGCTGCTCTTGATTATGCCATCCAGCTTCTCCTGCGATGATTTGAGTTGCTCCCAGCCAGGCGTAGATGGGGCGCGAGGGATTTCCTAGAAGAAATATTTTGGTCGGATTGATGCGAGAGACTGCCAGCACCTTACCCCATTCACCTGTAGCGCCCACATTTGATTTCCGGAGCGATCGGAGGGCGGGCAAGAGCTAGAAGCGCCGCTCATGACGAATTCCTAGGGCTCCTAGAGTCCTAGTAGAGTTCTTGGCCCTGGGAAAAAAATGTAGTTATGTTTTAGGGTTCTTGGAGTGAAATATAGAATGCTCAATGCGCCGCTGCTCCCGGAATCGGGCATGGATCAACCGTCGAGGCGGCGCTCTAGCGGCGTGATTGTGGATGAAAGCGCTGGGCAGCAGCAGCAGCAGCGGCAGCAGCGGCATCGGCGACGCGAGAGCATGTCCATGCTGCGGAGGATTTCGGGGAAATGGCAGTTCAAGTGTCACAAGATGCTCCAGGAGGGCGCATTCCTCGACACGGAGGCCCCCATTTCGGAAGGTATCGCGCAATGGTTTTTTTTTCTTCTTTTCTTTGAGGTAGCTAAAACTTTTCGATGTTCTTCCTTCTACCAGGTGTGCGGGAGTATAACAAGAGGCAAAGAGAAGCGCTGGAAATGTTTGAGGAGGTCGATTCTCTTCTTCACGTCTCCAAATCGACCAAGAGCACTGAAAGCATCGATGGCACTCTTCATAGCAACGAGAGCTTTGCGATCAACATCTCAAACATCTCCAACGTGATCTTACTGATCATGAAGGTATGATTTCTCTGGACACTTTTTTCTTTCTTCTTAGAGGAAATCAAAAGTTTCCTCATTTTACAGCTATACGCGACCATCCAGACACAGTCCCTGGCTATCGCAGCATCTACTCTTGACTCACTCTTGGATCTCGTCGCCGGTTTGATCCTATGGTTCACACAATGGTCGATGCAAAGCACGGATGTTTACAACTATCCGATCGGGAAGCTGCGAGTTCAACCGGTGGGGATCATAATCTTCGCCGCGGTCATGGCTACTGTTGGTACGTTCTGGCTGGAGTTTTTGTTTTTCCCATGCGAGATGATTTACAGAGCTTACAGGTCTACAGATTTTCCTCGAGGGAGTGAAACAGTTGTTTGAAAAGAGCGAGGAGAACCAACTTAGTCAGAGCCAGTGGGTGTGGCTTCTTGTCATAATGGGGACAGCAACGCTTGTCAAGCTTGCACTCTTCTTTTACTGCAGAGCCTTTGACAACGAGATCATACGCGCTTATGCAATGGTAGGCCACAAAAGAAAACTCTAGTAATCGGCTCTAGCCTGAAGGTGATCAATCCACTTTTCATCTATCGTTGTTTTTGTTTTTGAAATGGAGCGTTGCAGGATCACTACTTTGATGTTGTCACCAATTTGGTAGGATTGATTGCTGCTGTTCTGGCTGACAAGTTCTACTGGTGGCTCGATCCAGTCGGCGCGATCATTTTGGCGGTGTACACGATCGTAAACTGGTCCGAAACTGTGATCGAAAACGCTGGTAAGTGTTATTTTTTTACAGCTGAAAGACGAAGTTTAGATCTTATCTTTGTTTTTTTTTTTCTCGTGATGGAATCCAGTTTCGCTGATTGGGAAGGCTGCTCCTCCGGAGATCCAGCAGAAGCTCACCTACATAACTTTCAATCATCACAGAGACATCAAGCACATTGACACCGTCCGAGCATACACATTTGGTGCCTTGTACTTCGTGGAGGTAAAAAAAAACGATTTTTCAGTGTTTCCACCGATTCATTCTTCCTTCCAGGTTGGAATCGAATTGCCCGAAAGCATGCCACTGCGTGACGCTCACGAGATTGGCCAGACGCTCCAGCAAAAATTCGAAGCTCTCCCGGAGGTGGAGAGAGCGTTCGTGCAGCTAGAACACGACTATAGGCAAAGGTCGCAGCACCAAAGAGGACTTATCATAGTGGATAGATAGTAAATAACAAAGAGTGTGTGCTTTCAAAGTTTTAGGGTTCCTGGGAAGGAGGAGGAGCGCTCACAGATCTACCACTCGCCCGCGCTGGATTGAGTACGTATTTTCGAAATTTCCACCGGAGCTCGGGATCCCGCGACGCATTCGCGGATCTCTGGCTGGATGCCCGAGCTAGAGGATATTATGGAGGCGCCGGCCTCCGCAAGGTCGAGATCGAGGGATTCGTGCTAGGAAGCCGCCAGGGATGGAGTCGCCACGGCCGAAATCTCTTGGCGGCAGTGGCAGCAGGCGCAACAAGAGCTTTTCCACGCATGGGAGATTCTCGAGCAGGCTCACTCCCGAGTTTGATCCCAGCACTTACAGCGCCGGCCAGAGCCTCGCCTCCATTCTCAACAATCCACACCACTCCGGCTCGGATTCGTCGTGGAGCAGCTGGATCTTCTCGGCCGATCCTTCCTCTTCCATCGACGCCGCGGCTCCCCCGGCATCGAAATCCCTCCTCCCAGAGGCAGATTTCCGGGCGTACGTGGAATCCATCTCGGAGCCATACAGCCGCTTCGTGGATGTCCAGGAGCATTTCTTTCTCGAGGAGGATGGGCCGAGCACTTCTTCTTCTTCCAGCGGGGAAATGGGACTTAAAGGAGGAGAAGGGCTCGCGGCTTGCCTTCGAGAGATCCCAAACATGTTCTTCGACGAAGACTTTGCGCTGGAGAGGGGATCGACGTTCCAGGCGGCCTGTCCCTTCTCGACCATCCCACAGAATATAATGCTCCAGGAGAGGCTGACGCAGTACCTGGACGTGGTGGAAGTTCATCTTGTCAAGGAGATCTCTGCCAGGTCCGAGTCGTTCTTCGAGGCCCAGAAGCAGCTCGAGGATCTTAATGAGAGGATGCTGGAAGCCTGCCAGCAGATGAAAGAGCTCAAGTCGACCGTGCGTTTGCTGGAGAACGATCTCGTGGGCTCTGCCACCCAAGTTCACACACTCAGCCGGCAAAGGGAGAATGTTCTAGCGCTGCACGACAAGCTGAAGCTCATGACTTACGTCAACCAAGCGGTCTCTGCGCTACGAATTGTAAGGATCTCTCCCTCCTTTTGCCTTTAGACGTCGATGACAAATGCAAGTCTAATCTTGTTTTCTTATTGAGCAGCTTGTTGCTACTGCAGATTGTGGCGGTGCCTTGGATGTCATAGACGAGCTGCAACAATTGCTTGTGAGTATGTGCTGCAGGGTTATCGAGCACTTTCGATTGACTTCACTTCTTTGGTGTAGGAAGGCGATGAGCTTGCTGGAATGCATTGCTTCCGGCATCTGGGAGATCAACTGGCAGCATCGACGGATTCTGTGAACAAGTAAGGTCTTGAAGGGTTAGTTATGATGTTGACGTTCACACCTTCTCCTTTGGCAGCATGCTAGCAGCTGATTTTGTAAGAATTGCCATACATAACTCCAAAGATCTCGACTCTTCAGTGATTATCTCATCTCTTAACATGAAAGACAAGCTTTACAGCATGTCTGTAGAGGTGAGTTGTTGATATGAAGTCTGTCAAATTGCTTACCGATTTTCTCAGGTGCAAGTCAACGAAGAGGAGGAAACTAACCTTCGCGAGCTGCTTGTACCATTTGTAATCGGCCTATTGAGAACAGTAGGTTCTATCGTTTCTAATGGCAAAAGCTCATGTTTGATTTACGTGCGATGGCAGTCAAAGCTACCCGCCGTTTTGAAGGTTTACAAGGACACGTTAACCACAGATGTCAAGTCTGCAATCAAAACCGTAGTAGCTGAATGCCTTCCAATTCTTTTGAATCGGTCTTCTGGTGATTCTCCTGCAACAGAGAAGCAAACCGAAATAGATGGTACGTAAATAACCTTCATGCATCATCTGATGTTCCAGTTATTTTCTTGTGGCAGTTTCCGGACTAAACCTTGCTGCAAAATTGCGAAGTCTTTCTCCGGATGCCTTCGTACAACTCCTTGTCGCAGTATTCAAAATCATTCAGGTTGGAGGAGTTCTAAGCCTTCCGTTTGCCTAACATGGACGTCACAGACGCGCTTGGTGAGAGCTGCCAAAATTCGACAATTAGTGGAGCAAATCGTAAGCGGCCTACAAGGAACGTCTGCCGCCGAAGCTGTTGCCGCAGCATTTGCTTCTGGTGCCGCTGCCGTCGCCGCTGCCGTCGCTGCTGCTGAAGCTGCAGAAGAAGTAGAACCGCAAGGATCCTTGGCGCAAATTGTTACAGATAGCGATCCTCTTAATTTAAGAGGAAGAGGGGTTCAACTTTCAAGTATATCTAAGCAATTCAGGTACTTTTTTTATTGAGAAATCTGCCTGGCGTCTAACCTTTGCTTTCAAGAGCGGATGTGTTGCGCGAAAACACCGAAGCACTGTGGGCTGCATGCGATGCTGCCCATGGTCGCTGGGTCAAGCTACTTGGTGTTCGGGCACCTGTTCATCCAAAGCTACGGTTACAAGAGTTTGTAAGCATTCACGACGTGACACAGGAATTCATCGCTGCTACTGAAAAGGTAAACTTTGAAGAAGCATGTAAAGTTCTTGCGAACTTGCCTTTCTCAGGTGGGAGGTCGGTTGGGATACAGCATTCGTGGCACCCTGCAGTCTCAGTCCAAGTCCTTTGTTGATTCTCAGCACATACTTCGGGTAAGCTACTTCCACAAATGTAAATGTCTCACTATAATGTGTTCCAGATAACCAAGATCACCGCGGTGTTAGATCAAGAAACGTGGGTTGCAGTTGATATTCCTGACGAGTTTCAAGAAATCGTCGACAAAGTTTTTATTTTTGACGATTCGCTTGAGAATGGGGAAGCCGAGAGTCATTCTGAGGCTAATGGTGAGTGTCAACCAGTTGAAAATGGAGGCAGTATTGCGCCACATGATGAGAAGTTGGAGACGGACTCCAGCACAGTGACTACCGTGGATAAGAAGCTCCGGGAAAAGTCTATAAAGACGATTCGAATCGGGCAAATAGGCTACCATACGGTAAACAGGTACGTGGAAAGATGTGGTAGACACGAGCTAATTTTCTGCTTGAACTGCAGTGGCTTGATTCTTCTGAAAATGATTGCCGAGTATGTGGAGTTGAGCAACGCCCTGCCGGCCTTAGCAGCGGAGGTGGTTCATCGTGTTGCTGAAATTTTGAAGGTCTTTAATTCTCGTGCTTGCCAACTAGTACTGGGAGCTGGCGCTCTTCAGGTAGTTTACTTGATCGATTGAAGCAAGGTTGACAAGTTCTTTTACGCAGGTTTCGGGGTTGAAATCCATCACTGCCAAACATTTGGCACTGGCGAGCCAGACGATCACTTTTTTTCACGTGCTCATTCCTGGTTCGTACCAATAATGTCTGTTGTCAATCTCTCGCTAAGTTTTTCTCTGTGTAGAGATGAAGAAAGTACTGTCTGTGTTTATTCCGGACCCGAGAAAGGCCTTGTTGCTAAACGAGCTGGATCGGATTGCTCAGGTAGAGCTCGGCTCCTCATCTCCTAACACGAGTACTCTTTTTGTTATCGCAGGATTATAAAGTCCACAGGGAAGAGATCCACACAAAGCTCGTACAAATCATGAAAGAGAGGCTCCAGGTACATCTAAGAATTCTACCACAGGTCGTGGAAGGATGGAACAAAGCCGCTCCCGACGACGCAGACGCACAGCCCAGCCAGTTTGCTCGGACTCTCACTAAGGAGGTCGGAGTCTTGCACAGGGTGCTGTCGCCGCTACTGCTCGAGGACGACCTTCGCTCCATTTTCTCGTTACGTATCCATCCTCTTTAGTTTTTCTCTTTGGCTGTTCTATCTAACCTTCGATGTCTCTCTTTCAGCCGGGTGGTGTTGATATTCCACACCCAACTCACGGAAACGTTCTCGAGCCTGGAAGTATCGACTCCTCAAGGAGACCGAAGGTGGTATTATAGTTCTTGGATCGCTTGGATTGATGGTCTTTTTATTTCCAGGCTATACCGCGACGTGAGCCACATTCTAGCTTGCATCCGTGGGCTCCCATCGGATCCAATCGACCCAGCACAAGGCAACGCAGGCAAAGATTTAGACGCATTCCTCGCTCAAAGATTTGGCAACGATGTGCCGCAGTGAAACAGAGAGTAAAAGAAAAAAAAACAAGCCGGCCAGCGAGGCAGGCAAGATTTTGTCAATGTAAAATCCCTTCTTTTTTCCCATAAACGGCGGCTATAAAAGACACGTGGCATAGAATTAGATGGACACGTAGCAGAGGATCCACCCGTTAATTTTATTAGGTCAACCGCCCTTTGATCTTTCAAAACATTCCCCGCTTCTTCTTCCTCGCGGACAATGGGGGCTACTGCGGCTTGGATTTTGCTGGCTGGGCTCTCGAGTAAGAGAATCTGTCGGTTCTTCTCGATTCTAATCTATACCATTCTATCTACACACAGCGCTTCTTGGGCTAGCCAAGGCGCAGCTTGCGCAGGTGATCCTCTCGCCGGATTGCGGCACTGGTCCGACCTCGCCGTGCACCGCTATGCCCGTCACAGATAGCAATGGGGACTACATTTACGACTACACGCAGGTGGATTGGATTCTTTTCTCTGGTCCTGGTTTGGATTGGATCCCTCCCTGGCGGATTGATTCATTCGTGATTGATTCAGGAGAGCTGTGACACTGCTTATTGGAGCTGCCAGACGACCAACGTGGCGACGGACCCGACGTGGTTTTGCTACAGTGGGTAACTCTCTCGAATGGGGGCCATAGAAAACGTTTACCACCTTCTTCTTCTTCTCTTAGATGTGATCTCGCCGCTGGGAATTACCTACCAGACCAGGAATGAGATTGGCGCTGGACTGGGCGGCTTGGCCGTCGGCAAAAAGGAGGACAACTACGCAAAGTGCCAAGTCGATCGTCTCAAGGTAACAAACACGGAACTCTGACATTGACAATGAGAAAAACCATGGCAGGATCTTCTCTCTTTGGGGAACTGCCGCGACGTCACGCTATGGACTTGCAACGATTGCATCGCGGCATACACAACCTGGGTAAAGAAAGAAAAAAACAAACGGAAACGAAAGCCTTGTGTTCTTCACATTCTCTTTTCCTTGATCCAGATGTGTGCGATCCAGTTCCCCAAATGCATACCTTACCCCTTTCACTTCAGCATACCCAGGAAGAACGCCACCACCAATCCCAAGGCCGGCATGAAGGCCGACCTCATCTGGGGATACGGAGGAACGTCGCCGGATTACGTCGTCAACCCCTGCTTCGATCTCTGCTACGACGTCGTCCGAAAGTGTCCACCATCGCTGCAATTCACGGTAAGTTGCTCCAAAGCTTTCTCGCAAAAAAACTCTTGCTCTCTCTTTCGCTTCCCTTGCCAGTGTCCCACCGATACCAGGAGCTACGGGGACAAATCTGGATGCAACGATCTTGTTTAGAAACATCTGTGCTGAAACAAAAACAAGGAAAACGCATGTATAAGACGGACGATGTATTTACATACCCCTTCTCCCTCGCAATCTATCTCTCGTCGAGCCGAGCCGAGCCAAGCGAGCTACTTACGACTGAGCGGGGGCTACTAGTAAAGCTGGGGGCGTTCCTGGGGGTATGATGCACGCGGCACCAGGGTCGCGAGCCAGAGCCGGGGGCGTTCCTGGAGGTATGCACGCGGCACCGGCATCGCCAGCCAGCCTGCACAGCGTTTCCGCGCCGTGCAGCGTCGACACCAGGTTGATGTGGCCGCTCAGCTCGTTGATGAACTTGAGCAGTGTATCGAATACCATGTGCTCGTCCATGATCTTCCTCCGGTGTCGCTTGAGCAGCGCGACGCAGATGTAGAGGTGGAAGTGCTCTGACATGTGTCTCGTCCAAAGCACCTCCCAGAGCGCCAGGACGTCGTCATACACGAACTCCCTGGACAAGAAAACGTTACGCTAGATCAAACGGGAAAAACCATAAGTTCACCTCTTGAATTGTATCAGTATCCAGCGGAAGCAGAAAAAGTAGTTCAAGCACTCCACTTGGCCGAAGTATTCTTGCAGTGGGGGATCTAGAAGCTGCACCAACTGCACATACAACTAAATTAAAACCCCGAGAGAAGAGGATGCGAGTACCTTCGAAAGAGCCAGAAGCTGAGAGTGCATGCCATTTTGATCACGGTGGAAATTCGGACCCAGTCGTTCCATGAGAGAAGCAAAGCTCCAGAATGCTTCCTCTTCGTCTCGCATCACAAAAAGAATTGGTGATAGCAGATCGCTCATCCCCTGTAAGAAAACAGTGGGTTATTTAACAGCTCGTGCTACGTGCTTACATACCTGACAGTAGCCCAGATCAAAGTTGTAAAAAGAATAGGTGATTAGAATATCTCGGAGCATGTCGACGTTGGGATTGTCGTCTCCACCATAGAATTCTGTTGCTCGATCAGTTCGTACCTATACAAGGAGTAACAGAAGATGGTTACATTGCACGCCATTCGTATTGACATACCACATCCTTCTCAATGCGACTCTTGCGTTCTCGGAACTTGCTGAACCGCTTTGCCTGCTCAATTGAGACACTCTAAGAGACCAGAGAGAAGTCTATGAAAAAAGGACCAACAAAAAAGAACGTTTGGTACCTGCCATTGTGCCTTCAAAACGCGGTATTCTTCTCTTCTCTTCACTAACAGAGCATCTCTCTGTTTAGACGTTGAATCAAAAGAGAAGAACTCAAGCAAGAACTTCCAAACCTGCAAAAAGAAATAAAACAAACGACTGGAGAAACTAATGCGGAATCAATATCTACCAAAGGTCGCATAGACGGTTCTACTCCTCCTCGAAAGATTCTCTTCTTCAACTCGTTTGGATCAGTAACACGTCCTTCGCCATCCAGAAAAGAATTCCACTGGAACCTAGCTAGTGAATACAGGATGAAAAGAATGACATTATAAAACATACCTCCGATTTACCCAAGGGTGGTTCTCTTGCCGCCATAATATCTGGCAGCTCATCCTCCTGCATGCATTGACTAAGTTAGGAAACCGAAGAATACAAGGCACTTTTACACAGGACAGGGACGGATTTCTAGAAAACCATTTAGAGTTAAAGTCGAGTACCTGAGTGCCATCCACAAGCTCAAAGCTGCCCACGTTAGTGGATGCTTCTCCATTCTCACCTTGCTGCAGAAAGTTAACACTATATGCTTAAGCAGCTATTAAAAACTTGAAGCACCACACATAGAGGATGAAGGTGGAATATAGTGAAACTAACCTCTGAGGTTGCTGCTGCTTCTTGAAAAGAAACTATCCTCTCCGGCACAGCTTCCATCGTCAGCGTGCTAGGTCGCTTCGCGTTTTCCACGTTCAAGGTTTCTAGACCATTCATGAGCTGGGTGGTAGTGTCACGGGCGAACTTTGTAACCATTGAAAACTTTTCCAGAACGTGAAGAGAGAAGTTCGGATCTCTATGCCTGGGAGGTCGTTGAACATTGTCATTGCTAGTCGAAACATCTTCTGAGCGTTGTGGCTTGTCCTCCATAATCTCAGTTTTCGTGGCTCTGGATATTGGCATGAGTGACGCCCGAGGAACATCTGCGAGTTCCAATGACGAAAGACTTTTCTGCAGGAGACATAATCAACGACTGTAGCAAAGAAAACCAGCACGGCAAACCTGCAATGGATCTTGGATGTCATTCACAAGATACACATTTGGATCGTCACCAGCCCTGCACAAACAACTTGAGTGCGCAGTAGAAAGGAGACACAGGTCTACAAACCTCCCAAGCTGCGAATACTCCCGCAAAGTTCCCAGAAACTCACGGACACCGCCATTGTGAAAGTACAGGGGCGGAAAAGCCAGTCCTGCAGCCATCGTAAATGAGTCACAACAGAGATCTAAGGGAAGAAGAAGTAACATACCACTGTTTAAAACAACGATGATGTACTGCCAGCCGAAAGGAGGCGTGTGCCGTCTTATAGACTTCATCTCTTCCAGAGCAACAGCCCGGATAGTGTACAAACTTCTATCTGGGAGAAAAGTCAACTTAAAGGAGCATCGTATGAGAAGTCACTGGCTTACCTCTCTCAAAACTCGGCCCTCGTTGTTTCCTTCCTGGATCGCTGGAAGGCATCCACGACTAAGCATGAAAAAAAAGAGAGAAGAGCTTAGACCCCCGGATCACGATTTCTATGATAGAATTACCATGAAAACTGAGAATCCCTGCTTGATGAGCCGCAGCTGGCCATTGATTCTCTCGTTCCAGCTCGGATGGATCGCAACATAATCCTTGGAGTAGAGCAGCTCGTAATCTTCGTCTCCGGGTGCCGCATTCCCTTCCTACAAACCGAAAACGAAGATCACATCACAACGAATTCCTTGCTCGATCAGCTCAAGCGCGGCGACTGGGGGACCTCAGAATCCGCCGAATTCTTCATCGCTCCTCACACCGCTCGCTCTAAGCTCAAAATCTCCCATACCTTCACCGCCACGGCCGATCTGGCCTCGGACTTCCGTCCCATCCTCCGGAATTTCCTCTGCTCGCAAGGAGCCCTAACCCTAGAAACAGGATAATTAAACTTTATTGTATTTCCAGGTTCGATTCCTTTCTCCGAACCGCCTCTGTCTATTTTACACGTCTGTGATGAAGTGGCTCTTTTGGTGCTCTGGTTTGTGCGTACACTCGAAATCGAGGTGGACGAAAGCACGCTCTACTTCTGCGAGAGCTTCGATCTTGTCTTGCAGAGATTGGCCAATGTCGTGAGCTTCTTTCAGTGGCATCGTCTCTGGAAGTTGGATATCAACCTGTGAAAGGAGACGATATCTTGAGACGAGATAATCTTCGCTAGGAAAGGAGAGACCAACCTCAACGAAGAAGAGAGCTCCAAATGTGTAAGCGCGGACCGTGTCAATGTGTTGGATGTCACGGTGGTGATTGAAAGCCATGTAAGTCAGCTTCTGGAGGACTTCCGGTGGTGCCGACTTTCCGATCAACGACACTGTGAATGAACTAAGAAAATGAACCTTTGTGAAGTAGCATAGGAGAGCAATTACCTGCATTCTCGAAAACCGTCTTGGACCAATTGACAATGGTGTAGATCGCCAGAGCTACAGCACCAATGGGATCCAGCCACCAGTAGAAGCGATCAGCGAGTAGAGCTGCCGCTAAGCCAACCACGTTCGTGATCACGTCGAACTGGTGATCCTGTTGAGGTGAATTCTCGTAAGTACCGAGAAAACCAGCGGAAAAATAACTTGTTACCATTGCATACGCGAGAATTATCTCGTCCTTGAAGCTCCGGCAGTACAGAAAGAGTCCCAGCTTGACGACGATGGCTGTTCCCATGATCGCTATCATCCATATCGACTGTGACATATCTAGGTGAGTTTCGGGCTTCCCGTTGAGAAGCTGTCTCACGCCTTCTATAAGCACCTGGAGGCCTGCATTGCATTACCTTCTTAATACAAGTTCACAACGACAGAAAAACGTACCAAGAGTTGCCATAACAGCCGCGAAAACCACAATCCCAACAGGTTGAACTCTCAGCTTCCCGATGGGATAGTTGTAAATGTCCGTCCTTTTCATTGTCCATTGGGTGAACCAAAGAATGCCGCCAGCCAACAAGTCAAGGAGAGAATCTAGTGTCGAGGCCGCGATTGCCAGAGAACCACTTGCTACTGTTGCATATACCTGGAAGAAAAACGCAGGAACTGAAATGCTTGAACCTTTAAAAGAAGCAAACCTTCAAAGCAAGAAGTATGACGTTCCACAGATTGGAGCAGTTAACAGCCAGAGCTTCCCGATCAGCACTCGATTTACCATCGTCTCTCAGTCCTTGTCCCAGATGACTCAGCGCGTCAACCTCTTCAAACATAGCAAGCGCTTCGCGCTGCTTCTTGTTATACTCACGGATTCCTGCCAATAAAACAAACAAGAAAAAATCAGAAACCGAAGAAACAAAAACAAAACCAGTCAGAACACGCAAACAGAGCGATCGCCGAAGCATTCAAAACAGGCAAAGCAAAAAAAAACCTCCATGGCCGATGCTCGTGTCAAAAGCCCTTTCGTGATAGGACCTGACCACCTTGAATTGCCACTTTCCAGAAAGCTGCCTGAGAGCTGAGAACCCCTCGCCACTATATGTTCTGCTCGATCCCTCCCCACTCTTAGTTTTCATCAGAGGCGTCGCGAGCACCACCTCTTGCTCTTCCATCTCTCGCAAGCAAGCTAAGACTGTAGCAAACCTTCCTCTACCCTGAGTCACCCACGTACCAGGCTTCTCGCCGTTGGATCTGAGTCTTCTCGTTTTCCTTTTCTTAAACCTTCCTCTCAAAGTAATATGAATCTTCCAAGCTCTAATGTCAACGGGTGGGTAAAGCCTCGACTACACATACAGTTCTGGCCTCAATCAGCTGTCCAAGCTGTTGTATAGGACCACCACCATCTTTGCCAGTATCAAACACCATGCAAGCGAAAAAAATAGCAACCACAAATAAAAAAAAAGGAAGAATAGAGAGATCGCTGCACGAATCCCAAGCAAACATCTGCAAAGGAATTGACTTCTCGGCATTTCCAATGCCGAGGTATCGATCGATCAAAGGGAACTCCATACAATCCAGCAAGGAAACTAACATCGATCGATCAAAGGGAACTCTATACAATCCAGCAAGGAAACTAACATCGATCGATCAAAGGAAACTAACATCCACACAAGCAAATAGAAAGAAAAGGGAGTGGAAGGCATACCGTGATTTTGATGAGGCGACGATGAGTCCTCGAATGCCTCCTCCGTGAGCATATCGTAGTATTGGAACCTGGAAAGCTTGCAAATCACCGTGTGCTGCTGCCGCTCCAGATCGATATCGCGATCGCCATTGCCGCCGCTGTCGACCTTGCAGCTCCCGAATCGGCCACAGCATTCGCGCCGCTCCTGGAATCCCTGGAGCAAGGGCACATTGTCCATCCCCCTTCTCGATCGCCTTCTCACGCGCGGCAATGGGCGGCAATCAAATAGAAAGCGCTGCCGCCTGATCGATCGCGACAGTAGGATCGCGCTCCCTCGCTCGATCGATCTCGATCGATCACTCACTCTCTCGATCTCGATCGATCACTCCGATGGAATGACGAGAATATTTCGAGCCAGGGGCGCACAAAACCCTCCTACCTAAAAACTAAAGGAACCCATGCAACGCAAGCTTACAAATCCGGGCGATCGCTGCCATGCCGTACGCATGCCCTGGGCCCCATACTGTGTACGGAACACCATGTTTATATTCCTTGCGAGTGTCGACACACGAATGCTAGCAGGCGTCTTGCGACACGTACGACTGGAGCACTTCCACTTTCTCAGCACTCACAAAGTACGAAAGAATGTGATTGTTTCTCCGGGCCGTACTGGGAGAACCGAGTAGTTTCTTAATGCAAAGGTCTGTTGTCCTGGCTGAATTGGATGGGATTGAATGGCAACAAACGTTTTACTCACTGTGATCGAGATTCCAGTCGCTACTACTGGTCAGTCTAGGATATATTAATCGGCATCCATATCTTCCTCTTGTGCGGCTTTGGCAGCGGCTTTGGCCTCTTCTAGGAGGTTTGCAGGCACCTGGAAAGCAAAACAAGCATTAGAAAATACGAGGGACTAGTACGTAGCGAGAGTGCGATGGCAAGACCTTTTGGTGCTCCTTGTTCGACTCGTCGCAAATCCAGCTCATTTCCAGTTCAAAGGCTTTGTCCTTGGCTTCGTCGTGAACTCCGTAGATGCTGTTTAGTTTTCACAAGTTCAAAGAATCCATCCAACAGGGAGGAAACGAAAAAACTTACATCTTGGCAACGGCGAAAACAGCCTCTTTGCAAGTCATCTCGGACAGCTTTAGCTTCTCGATCTCACTGTGAGATGCAACAAGCAAAGTTAGATCGACAGTCACGGTGCTTGTTTGAGAAATCTTTCTTACGTTTTCGCAGCTTGCCGCCCCTTGCCAATCGCTGCACCGAAATAGCGCTGCATGGGGAAAATCAGTGCTTGATCCTCGCTAAAACCAGCACACTTACATACGAAACACCGGAAGGTTCAATCATGTAAAGTTGCGGCCCATCTCTGTCGTACCCGCCAAGTATTACTCCAGTGCCGAACGGCCTACGCAGTAAGCATGTCGATGGAGCCGCAAAGAACGGAAAAAAGGAAGAATTTGAAGTACCTCAGCCACCAGTAAAGTGTACACAAGTGTACGTAGCTCGCAACTCGCTCGCAGAGATGACTCGTGGGAATCTCCTCGCCATAGAAACTGAAAAAAAAAGAGAGAGTGTTTTCGCAAATGCTAGAGTATAATCCCAATTCAATCACCTCAGGTAGTTCTTTGCCTCCGCTCTAGCACGAGCAACGACCTGCCGTCCATCGGCTGCAAGCCCCGCCACCGCCTAGCGAAAGGAAATGTAAGTAAACCAAAAGAAGTAGAAAAATGATCGCACCATGCCAGCGTGCTCGTGAACATGATGTATTCTCTTGTTCGATCCCTCGACGAGCATCTTAGATGGAGTTAGCTTCTCTATTCCCTGCAAGAAAAATAAAATAAAATCGCTGTAATGCATTTTTTCCCAAGGAGCACATACCAATACTACCCCGTCCTTGCAAGTAACTCCGATAGCGGTCCTAGATCACAAATCCACTAAGAAAATGACTAGAGCAGCAACAAACTTACCCGCTATTGTCGACCGCCTTGCTCGCATACTCGGTCTGGAACACTCGCCCATCCGGCGAGAAGGTCGTCACCGATAGATCATACTGGAGAGACGAAATAAGAGAGAGAGCTGGATCCAAATCCAAGACGCTTACCCCAGTGCCAATGCTGCTCATCGTCAAATGCCCTAAAACTTCACTTTCTAGAACCCTAGAAATATTGTCTGGTGGGAGGTTTTATTGCCAATGGCGCTCGAGAAGGGCCCATACATCGGCGATGTCACAGCGCTGTGCTTCGCGGCGCTTCCGTCCAGGGTTGTTCTTGCGGGTAAGCGCTCGCATTGTGGATTCTTTGCGGTCTCAGCATTGCCTGCCAGGCACCGGAGCGCAGCTGGATTGCTACAATCTCGAGACGGGAGCGCGATATTTCCCGTCTGTGCACGTCTTCGATGGAATCCGCGTCCATGGAATCGTTGCTGCCGCGGCGGAGTCGAGCGCATTGCCTCCGGCGATCGTTGCTGTTCACGGAGAGGGAAAGGCGAAGCTCTTTCGATTGAGCACCGAGGCTCTGGAGCCCTGGCAATGCGTTCCGAGGTTTTCCAAGTGGATTCTCGATGTGCAAATCTTCACAAAGGTAAGCAAGGCAGTAGAAGCATTTTCTCATTCTTTGTATTTCTTTCTTTTTTTCTTTCAGGATGATGGCCATAATGTGGTTCTAGCAATCGGTTTAAGTGACAATACCGTGTGTCTTTGGGACACTTCCTCCAAGAAGATAGTCTCCAACTTCCACTGTCCTGGTAAGGTTTTATATTCTCTCTAGCTTTGTGAACTTTGATTGGATTCGCCAAATAGAAAGGTGCTTATTGTATTCTATGAGGCTTTGTGGTGATTCCATTCAGAGTTTGCAAGTCGCTGCTGGGACAATCTACAATGAGGTATGGATATTTTACGTACTTGGATCGGTTTTATATAATCCTGAATTGCCGTCAGGTTCTTGTTTGGGGAGGCAAGGGGAGCACCTGTGAAGCCAAGATCGTCCATAGACTGTGCGGACACGAGGGTTCTATTTATCGTATCACTTGGTCGACAGATGGATGCTTCCTCGGTTCGGTATCAGATGACAGAAGGTTTGATTTAATATTCTTTCTTGCATTTCAAGCTGAATTTAGCTGATCCTCTAAGCAGTGCTCGAATATGGAATCTTCAGACAAAAGCTGTCATTGTTTTATTCGGGCATACTGCTCGTGTTTGGGATCTCCATATAGATGCAAAGGTTTGCAGTGCTTGCGATCTGTACAAAAGCTCTTTCTTTTATCTTATGTTGTTTCCTTGGGTTTATATAGATGTTCATAACAGCAAGTGAGGACTGTACATGCGGAGTCTGGTCTTTGAGTGGGGAGCTTTTGAGGACGCTGAAGGGGCACACGTAAGTATGCTCTCGTTTGTCTGTGATCAGCTTTTGATCGTGAACAATGCAGAGGTCGTGGGATATGGCGTTGCATATTTGATCGTCAGCTGTCTATGCTAGTAACTGCAGGAGCTGATTCTTCCATTAAGCTGTATTCTCTGTCGGAAAGAGCTCTAATTCCTACGACTGCTAAAGAGATGGTAATGTACCGGATAGACACTGGCAAGAATGATGGTTTTTTAGACAGGTAAGTTACCTTTTTTTTCTCCTGTACGTGACCTCACACTTTTCCGCAGTAGGAGCGAATATGTCCGGTGTTTATGTTTTGAAGGACCGTCGTCCCTGTTCATAGCAACAAATCAGGGATTGCTACAACGCGCCAGTCTCTTGCCATCTGGGGACGTGAAACAGGTCTCGATACTACAGACACCTGAAAGAAGTCCTCTTGTTTGCTTGGATATTTTCAAAGAACAGCTCGTAACTCCTGAAGGATGTCCCAGTAAAGAGGTTTTAGTTGCCTGTGGTGACGGCCAGGGTCGGGCGACGGTCTTAGGGATCACTTCCGAGGGGCAGATAGCCTGGCAATCAACATGGATAGCTGAAGCAGAAAGACAGCTCTTGGGAGCTTTCTGGTGTAAATCTCTTGGTTCACGGTAAGCATATCCTAATGTGTGACATTGATCATGCTATGCATCTAGATTCGTTTTTACAACAGATCCGAAAGGAGGAGTTCGTTGCTGGGCTATGAATGGCGAAACTAGCGAGGGACCGCGGCATTTGGCATACTTCAAGTCCTCCTTGTCAAGTCGAATTGTATGCATGGACGCGTCCTTAGAAAAGCAGGCAAGTTCTGCAATTTGAGGCTTCTATTATTTACTGACACTTAAAACAGGTGCTCGTATGTGGCGATCAAAAAGGAAGCTTACTATTCTTTCATTTTGATTCAATCTTATTCGAGATGGAAGATCCCGCTGTTGTTGAGGAGCTCGATTCATTCAGAGGTGCGCACGGCATATCTGCCGTTGCTAATGTGTCAATATCCGAGTTCTCAAACGAAGGAACCAAGACAATATCAGTAAGGCTATATACATATTTAGAATAGGCAGTGAAACTTTGCGCTGTGTGTACAGACAGGAAGAGATGGATGTGTTTGCGAAGTATTCTACCAACGTGGTCAGCTATCGTCGGTACTTTCCTGCCACCGAGTCGAGAAGATTGCTGCAATAACGGTCTTGGAATCAGTTCTATGCCTATCTGGATCAAAACGAAGGATTGGTCTAGGATTTTCAGCGGCAGACTTTGTGTTATGGGATATCACCAACGAGGTAGAGGTAAAATAACGACGTCTTTCTATCTTATCATCTAATAGATAACTGGCAGTTGAAAAGAATATCTTGCGGTGGATGGAAGCGACCACATTCATCTTTTGTTGGAGAACTTCCGGAGACTCAATTTTGTTTTGCTTTTGTGAAGGTCAAGCTTATATACTTCACTACTTCGGAACTCACATACCTTTTCAGGAACAAACCATATGTATTTGCCGCAATTGGGACGATAGTGATGATTCGAGTCCCCTGCAAGCGCTGCAAAAACAATCGCATGGGAGAGAGGTCCACTCGATTTTATTTTTTCCTGACACGGACTGGCTCTTCTCTGGTTCCGAAGATGGAAGAGTTCAGATTTCAAGGTAAATGCTATAGACATCATCCATATACTTGTTAACCAAGCTCCATGCCGTACAGGTATGCTCAGGAGGACTTAACAGTGTTCGCATCATTGGAAGAACACGTTGGTGGCTCTGCGGTTCGTGCACTAGCTTTGTCGACCCGTGTGTACAATAGCAAGACTGAAGCGAGCGGGATCGACGACATGCAGCATGCAGTTCTGTTCTCTGCTGGTGCAAAGGAAGTTTTGACGTGTTGGGAACTCTTCGACAAGCCAGAACAAATATCGGCACGATGGCTCAGTACTCACTCGACTTTCAGCAAGAAAAGCGGCGTAAACAAGGATGACTTGCGGTATATGGCACTGACAGTTTTTGCTGTTGAGTCGGATGGCGTTCCAGTTTATTTTGTGGTGGCTGCCATGTCGAATGCCATCCTTACTGTCAAGGCGTTCGACTCATCCAGCAAAACGTGGTACGTTTCCTTCTATATGACTTCCCTGCATGTTTTTCATTTCAGACAAGTTCCAGGTCTCGTATCGCAGTTCTCCAGCATCACAAATGTCCAGTTTTGACCCTGCATCACGCCGTCCTCCCTTGCTTCTCGCAAGGTAATTTGTCTTTCTTTCACATACCATTAGCTGTTCTTATCAATGCTCATGGTCAGGAACACTGGCGAACAGATTTTTCGTATTCAGTGGCTGCACAGACGGAAGTATTGCCGTCTGGGATCTTACAAATTCAGTCGCTAGCTTCACCGTTGGTGAGAGAGAAAAAGCCCAAGGCTTGCGGCCTCTCTCCGGGAGAGGAAGCCAGGGTGGTAAAGCCCGCCGACGCTTGAATCATCAGCGCCATCCCTCGCAGCAGCAAATCCTCAAAGATCCGCAGTCCTCGCCTGATCTCTCCCAAGACGCAGCAGTACTAAGTCCCGTACTCGTGCTAAGTTGCTGTCACCAATCCGGCGTCAATTCTCTATACGTGTGCGCCACCTCGTCTTCCACATTGTCGATCGTGAGTGGTGGAGATGATCAGTCTCTTCACTTCTCCGTGCTGTCCATGCAAGAAGGTACTCTTATCCTTTTGAGTTTTACTTCTCACACACACTGGCTACTGGTTTTGCGTGCTGGTAGGCGCTGGGAGTACTATCCGTGTCCTGAGCCGCCAAAACGTTGCCAATGCGCACAGCTCGGCAGTGAAAGGCAAGGACTCTTTTCTCCTTTTGACGATCCTCGGTACAAGCTTATGGTTTGTTTTTTTTTCTTTTTTGGCTTGACGCTACAGGGGTGTGGAGCGATTCCGAGTGGATTTTTAGCACTGGCCTTGATCAACGAGTGAGGTGCTGGCAAATCGCCCAAGACAATCAATTGACACGCTCATGTACCTGCATCATCGACGTTCCTGAGACCGAGTCGATCGATGCTCATCGATCAAGCGAGTGAGCTCGAAAAACTGGATCAATCATTAGCTGGTTCTAACCATTTTCGCTAGTTTCTCTCTTGGCAGGAGCTCGTATCGCATCGCTGTAGCGGGAAGAGGCGTCCAAGTGTTAAATCTCGCAGTGTAATTTGTTTTCCTTAAAACGAGAGAGAATCTTGAGACTCTTTTGGTGCCTCCGCTAATAAATACATTTTTACTTGGCAGCATTGCAGTACGCAAGAACAGTACGAGAGAATGTGGGAGCTTCGCGATGACGCCGAGCTGAGGAGATTGGCAACGAGCTGCACTGATCTCTTGGCTTCGCTCGGGATCCATGATCCGGTATGGATTCCACCTCTCACCTTGACTCCGGCCACCATAGCAGCAGAGGTTTCACCACTAGAGATTTCATCCCCTGCGATGGCGGCAGAGGTCCAGCCTGAGGTTTCGTCTTCTTGCGCAGTGGAGCAAGAAATTCCTCCATGCGAGATGGCTTCTTCTTCTTCTCTCGGCCATGGCGATGCGGAGCTTTCCCCCGCGACTGACCTTGGCGAGGCAACCGCAACGGCGCTCTCTTGCGCGTCATCGCCATCGATCACCATGGCGATCGTCAAGTCCGAGCCCATGGAGCCCGATCCCATGAGAATCAAGTTTTTGCAGCAGAAGGCGCGGTAAGATCGAGCAACCACTTCTTTCCACCCTCCATCACTCGATCGTTTCCACAGGTTCCACGAAGCAGTAGCGGCGCACGACGCGCTCCAGGAGCAGCCTACATTGCTGCTGGGCAGTGGCGATGGTGGCGATGGCAGCGATCCCAGCGACGCCCATGGCGTCCGGCGTCGAAAGAAGAGCCGGACCGATCTCGCGGTAGCCGCCCAGTTCCACAAGAGGGAAGACTTCCTTCACCACAGGAAGCGCCAGATCGGCAGCATCCCGGGCGTGGAGGTGGGCGATACGTTCTCGTGCCGCGCGGAGATGCAGGTCATGGGCATCCATAGCTTGCCCGTGGCGGGGATCGACACCATGGACTGGGAGCCGGGTGTCCCCGTGGCCATCGCGGTTGTGCTCAAGCGCAGCAGCGTCTATGGCGACAATTGCGACGCGGGCGAGAGGGTGATCTACTCGGGCCAGGGAGGATTCAAGAAAGGAAACACCGAGGACCAGAAGCTCGAGGGCGGGAATGTGGCGCTGGAGAACTCGATGAAGAACAAGCTGGCGGTGCGCTTGATCCGGGGCTACCTGGGCGCCGAGTTTGGGCGATTCAAGACGCTCTACAGCTACGACGGCCTCTATCTCGTCAAGCGGATGCTCTACGGCCCGGGAAGGCGCGGGAACTTGGTGTATCAATTCGAGATGGAGCGCATCAAGAACCAGCCGCCGCTGCGATTCTACGATCGCTTTGATCCCCCCCTCCCGGCCTTGCCAGCAGCGGCGCTGCCGTCTGGGATGATCGTGGCACTCCCAGCTCGTGGATTCGGGGCGAATGTGCGGCAGTCGAGCTGCTCGTCGGCGCTCGAGGTGTTTCATTCCCCGCCACCGCCGACGCCGCCACCACCACAAACGCCGCCAACGCCGCCACCGCCGCCACCACCACAAACGCCGCCACCGCCGCCATCACCGCCGCCGCCTCCCTCCGCCATCGCCAAGAAGAGGAAATTCCCTCGATTGTGTTTGTAATTACGTAGGCTCAATCAAAATTTAGGGTTTATCGGTACGAGCGATCCATGGAGGCCGCCGTGAGGCGACGAGCCGGCATCGCGCTGCGCCAATCGGTGAGTTGTTCCTTCTCCCGGACGATCGATTCCAGCACAGCCTTGCGGCAGCGAATCGACGATGGGAATGCGGCTCAATCAAGCAGCGAGAATCCCATGGCGGGAATCGATCATAATCCAGTGCCAGGGCGCGGCAGCGGCGATCGAGGAGCAGGAAAGATCAAGCTGGAGGAGCTCTCCTTCAAGCCAGGGATCGCGGACAAGCCGATCGCGTCTCCGGCAGTGGCGAGGTTTAGGCGACTGGCGATCTCGGCCGAGGCACAGGAGCTCCTGGAGATCCTCGAGACGGAGATGGAGGAGGTGCGCGAGCACAAGCTCCGCGAGTACTGCGGCAAGCTCAGCACGGACATTGTGGTGGACGTGCTCAACCACGCCAGGGACGTGGAGCCGACGATCCAGTTCTTCGAGTGGTGCCACGGCCGCCATGGCTACACGCACACGGCATTTGCCTTTAACCGGCTTCTCGAGTTCTTGGTGAACAAGCGGCAGTACAAGCGCGCGCACCAGATGCTCATCGCCGAGAGCAAGCCGAGCTCGTTCCAGGCGAATGCTTTCACGTACTCGACCATCGTCCGCGGCTACTGCGAGGATGGCGAGACGAGGCAGGCTCTGGCACTCCTGGAACACATGAAGAAGGCGGAAGTTCCAGCCAACGCGAAGCTCTACAACATCATTCTCACGCATCTGTGCAAGCATGGGAAGGAGAAGGAGGCGCTCGACTTGCTCCACTCCATGGCGACGACTTCGTGCGCTCCCGACATCTACACTTACAACATTCTCATCAACGCGCTGTGCAAAGTCGGGAGGCTCGAGGACGCGCAGGGCCTGGTGGAGATGATGCAGGCCAGGGAATGTCCGACGGATATCGTCACGTACAACACGCTCATCCATGGGCTGTGCCGCAAAGGCAACGGGAGGTTCCGGGTGGAGAGAGCCTTCCGGCTGTTTGAGGAGATGGTTGACAAGGGCCACACCCCGACGTCCGTGACTTACACCGTGGTGATCGACGCGCTGCTCCGGGTGAAGATGGACGAGCAGGCGCAGAAGGTGCTGGATCTCATGCACGAGAACGGCTGCGCTTTCGACCTCGTCACGTACAACATGCTCATCAATCGCTTCGCCAAGGCCGGGATGATGGACAAGGCGATGGATTTGTTCGTGGAGATGCCAACCAGGGGCTGCATTCCGGACGTTGTGACTTACAACTCCATCGTCGACGGGTTTTGCAAGGCCGGGAAAGTTGAGGAAGCCAACAAGCTCTTTGCGGAGATGAAGGCAAGGGGTATCTTTCCCAACGGCCGGACTTACACTAGCATCACCGACGCGTGCCTGAAAGCTGGACGGATGCAAGATGCCCATGCGTATCTCGTTGAGATGAGAAAGGAGGGACTGGTGGATGCGATCTCATACGTAGCTCTTATCAGCACGATTTGCAAGCTTGGGAAAGGGAAGCTGGGATTTCAGCTGCTGCGAGAGATGCTGGAGAAGGGATTCAAGCCAAACCTCGTCACCTTCAACGTTGTCTTCGAGGCGCTCAGCAAGGAAAGCAACACCGACGACGCCAAGATCATGATCCAGGAGCTGAGGCAGCAACACAGCTCACCCCCATTAAATAAGTAGCGGGGATGCAAAACAGTGAGCATCGTGTGAGGAAAGTTTGCAGTTTCTTCTAACGAGGATTTCTGTCAGGTGTCACTTCAACAAGTTCCGCCAAAATTAAACACGGGAAGAATGACTGGCAAACTGTGAGCTTCTGCTTGAGTCATTTTGACTGTTTTTGCTAATCTTTCCGTGTTTTGATCGTGGGAAGTTTCAGCCGTCGAGAAGATTCGACTATAGCTTCTTTTGCGTTGTCCCTCAAAACTTTTTTACTACTCTCCTTTTTCCAAGGTCCTAGAATGACATCTGCAACAGATCTCTGGCATTCAGGGATTGATAAATGGCTGCACGAGATCCTGGGATTGTCCCTTCTCGCCCCTCGATTTCAGCTCACTGGATTTTTTAATCTATTTCAGGAGCTTTCAGGAATGCTTCCATTTGAGCACTGACAGCTGCGATCTCGAACAGAGCTCTGCATCAGCAGGATCGGGAAAGGAAGTTGGGTTTCAAACCTTTGAGGATCATGGTCTAGGAGCTGAGACAACAGCATAAACAAGTAGCTCTGGTGAGTTTCGTTTGAAAAAATTTCCACTTTACTTTTTAACTATTGCTATTATTTTATCTAACCAGTGAGCTTGTAGAAAGAGTAACGCAACGCGGTAAGCTTCCTGTTCGAGGGATTTGACCTTGTCTCGCTTATCCTTTTGTGTTTGTCATGGTAGAAGTTTCGGCAGCAGCTTGGCAGAAGCAGCAGCGGCCGTCGAGAAGCATTGACCATCTCGTGAGTCTATTTAACGTACGCGCTGGGGCGGCTTTCCATTTCTTCAACTTTGCACTGCTAGATCTATGGTGAAGCTACAGCAACTCGGAAATGAACAAGAGCAAGTCGTTTTCTCAAGCTTGGTGGTGCATCATCCTGCTGCTTGGTCTAGGGTTGGAATCGGCATCAGCAGCAGGTGTTGATCCAAAGCTGTGGCGTTCCGGTGATCAAAAGTTTTCGGGGGTGATAATTCCCGGCTTTGCCTCCACAAGGCTCAGGTCCTGGTCGCTGCTGGATTGTCCCTTCTCGCCCCTCGATTTCAACCCACTGGATCCTGTGTGGTTGGACCTCCGAAAGGTTTGTCTTTCTCTTTTTCCGCTTTGGTTTGAGTCAGCTGAGCTGGAAAAAATAATCTTTTTCAGGTTATCTCGGTACCACAATGTTGGATGAAGTGCATGATGCTTGATCCTTACAATCAGACTGATCATCCCGAGTGCAAATCTCGTCCCGACAGCGGTGTTTCTGCAATTACCGAGATGGATCCTGGATATTTCACAGGTATCCAAGTTGGCTTTTTTTTTCTCTATTCGTTTTGTTAATTAGGATATCACAGGACCATTGTCTTCTGTATGGAAGGAGTGGGTTTCGTGGTGTGTAGAGTTCGGTGTTGACGCCGAGTCCATTGTCGCAGCACCTTATGACTGGAGATTGGCGGGTCCAGTTCTCGAAGAACGAGATCTGTACTTCCACAGGCTGAGGTTTTTCCTTCTCAAAATCACCTCTTGTTTTTCTGATCTCTAATTCCAGGCTAACTTTCGAGACGCTTCGGAAGCTGCGAGGGGGGCCGTCACTCGTTTTCGCGCATTCTCTTGGGAATAATGTGTTCAGATATTTTCTGGAATGGCTGAAACAAGAAGTACCGCCCAAACTGTACACTACTTGGATTGACGATCACATTTTCACGTATCATGCTCTAGGTGAGATTGGCGGATTGTGAACCGTCTTACCAGCAATGCTATCTCTTGCAGGTGCTCCTTTTCTAGGAGCTCCAGATGCTCTGAAAGGCGTTCTTTCTGGGGTGACTTTTGGATTACCAATTTCAGAGGTTCGTTAAAGCTGTTGGAACTTCGCAACGTCATTGACTTTTACTTCGTTTTGATAGGGTACAGCTCGAATCATGCTTGGAACTTTCAGTTCCGGTTTGTGGATGTTGCCGTTTTCTGACAACAAACCACTGTCTCAAAGGAATACGACCAAAACCGAAGGCTTAGTTGCTCCAGACTGGCCTGTCAACGTGCTTGAGGTGGACATGCCAACTTCTGGTAACAAACGAATGGCTTATTAATGCCTTATCCAACTTTTGTCCACTTTGGCAGGGGTGCTCTATCCTGGTGAGTCTTTCGAAAACGGAGCCCTTGCAGCTCTAGCAAATTACACAGTTCCTATCCAGCGCTTTTATTCAGCTCAGAAAATATCGGATGGCACAAGCTTCAAGGAGATGGGTGAATTTGATCCTCAAGCTAAACTGGCTTTCTATCAGCTCAAGAAGTATGTCTGACTGATGTTTTTTCCTACTAAACTACTTCCTAATTCTCAGATACTACTTGGATAATCCATTGTTTAATCCACTAACTCCATGGGAGCGGCCGCCGATCAAAAATGTGTTTTGCATGTATGGTATCAATCTTAAGACTGAGGTTAGTCCTCTTTGAAAACCTTATTGTGGAAAGATTGAGTTGTGAAATTCAGGTTGGCTATCAACTGTCTCCGAGTGGAAAGCCGTACCCAGACAATTGGATTATCAAGGATGTCATCTATGAAACAGATGGAGGTTCGTTGCAGACAAGGTAAGAACTTTGTAACCAAGATCATTTCTAAAAACCATTACAACAGGTCAGGATTAGATGTCGATGGAAAAGGTGGTGTTGCGAGTGGTGATTCCACAGTGAGTTATCTTACAAACTTCTGTTCTTGATGGCCTACATGTTTTCATATGCTTAGGTACCATACCACTCTCTTTCTTGGTGCAAGAGATGGCTGGGTCCACGCGTGAACATCACAAGAGCTCCTCAAGTAAGTATGTCCTTTGCTGGTTTCATTCTTTTAAGCCTGTTGATTTCTGTGATTCTAGACTGCACACGAAGGTTCAGACATTCAAGAGGTTTTCGACGTGGAACACGAACATGGAGGTGATCTTGTATACAACGGGAGCCGGGACAGTCGAATAAAATACATCACATACTATGAGGACGCTGTTGGACTGGCAGGGAAGAAAACCGCGGTTTGGGAGTTTGACAAAAGTAATGTCCTGCGAACCTCCTGGCTGCTGATAATTCTACATGTTGTTTGTGCAGTTGATCACAGGAATTTGGTCCGCTCGCCTGTTCTACTCAGGGAACTGCTACTAGAAAACGTTCACAATTCCCACCCACAAGCAGTGAGAAGTTTCGTCTCCAAAGGTCAGCGCTCGAAGTAACGCTTTTTTCTCTGTAACTTAGACCGGTTGTTGCAGCTAGACGAGTACCCTTGCGAGACGAGGACTGCTATTGGGACTACTCAAAGGCAAAGTGCGGCCTTTTGGATTATTGCGAATACAGGTACCTATGCCAGTGTTTCGAAAAATATCGACCGACTTCTCCACTACAGATACGTTTTCGGGGACGTGCATTTGGGACAGAGCTGCAGACTCAAGGCTTCGACGGACAAAGACATCCTACAGTACTTTTAAAGAGAGGGTTTAAAAGCAGGGTATGAAGGTAGCGTCTAGGTAATGGACTTCGGTGAATGAAAAGACTGCTGGGTTCGAGGGCCTTCTCTTCACAGAGCCACAATGCAAGCGAATATCTCAAATGGCAGCAGTTCATTGAAGATCCGTCCAAATGGTGGGACAACAGAACATCCAAGGTAAGTAAAAGTTCAGTTTTAGTGTTAGTTTATCAATTCTCTTACACTTTGATACAGAAAGACGCTGCCTCTCCAGACTTTGTTCATGTGTTTACGGGACAGAAGCTGTGGATTGACTCTCCATGCTGTCCCGAATGGATGCGTGACAAGCTCAAGGCTTTGGGAGAAGCAAACAAGGTCCATAAAGTCAGGAACAGTACAGAGAACAGTAGAACCGAAAGGTACCACCGCTCGAGAAAGGCTTCAGGAGTTTCAGAAGTTTTGTTCGCGTTGAGAGCTTGCAGCAGCTCAACAGACTTACGTACAGGTGCCAGAATTCACAGGGACCTGTCTAGAAGCGGCGGCTATGAGGATGCTGTGGCAGATGCGCTCGTCGACATGTATGCCAAGTGTGGTAGCTTGGTGGATGCGCACAGAGTTTTCGACAAGATGGCTCGTCGCAGTGTGGCTTCATGGACTAGTATAATCACGGGCTATGCGCAGGCAGGACAAGGGTCTGTAGCGCTCGACTTGTTTGAACGGATGGTGGCCGAAGGTTTCGCTCCAGATGCTCAGCTTTACGTTTCAGTGTTGAAGGCTTCCGCTGGGCTGGCATCCAAAGACGAAGGGAAGAAATCTCTTTGCAAAGAGAAAGGAAGGATGATTCACGCTCAGCTGCGAGAGGCTGGATTCGAGACGAACAGATTTGTGGCCAACACGCTGGTGGATTTATATGCCAAGTGTGGAAGCTTGTGCGAGGCTCGAAGGGTCTTTGACGGGATGCTGGAACGGGATGTAGTGAGCTGGAACTCTATCATTATGGGATATGCACAAGCTGGAGAAGGCGAGAAAGCTCTGGAGCTGTTTGCCGGAATGGAAGAGAATGGTGTCGAGCCGGACGGGCAGATCTTCGTTGCTGTGTTAAAGGCTTGCAGCAGCTTAGCAGTCCGAGAGGAGGGCAGGAAAGTCGATGGAAGGATGGTTAAGGTGGCATGCTTGGAGAAAGGAAAGGCTATTCACTCCCGGCTTGCAAAGAGTGGGTTTGAGTCCAACATGTTCGTGTCAAGCTCGCTGGTCGATCTCTACGCGAAGTGTGGCAGCATGGCAGATTCTCGAAAAGTTTTTGACAGAATGATCCGCCACGACGTTATCTCCTGGAATTGTTTGCTTGGCGGGTATGCACAGAGCCGGGAAGTTGAGCTTGCCATGGAGTGTTTCGAGAAAATGCCGCAGCGGAATACGGTCTCGTGGAATTCACTTATAGCAGGATTCGTCCAAGGTGGAAAGATCGAAGCAGCTTTAGACACTTATCAACGTATGCTGGACGAAGGCTTTGTCCCAGACTCTCGGACTTACGTCTCGGTTCTCAAGGCTTTGGTGGCGAGCAAGCCAGACACCGAGAAATCGATAAGGGACAGCTCCTTCCTGGACAAGGCTAGAGAATTCCATTCCCAGCTGAAGCAGAGAGGCTTCCATCTCGACATTTGCGTGGCCAGCACACTGGTCGATGTTTACGCCAAGTGTGGAAGCATAGCCGAAGCACGAGACGTGTTCGACGGACTGCGCACCCGTGACGTCGTGTCGTGGAATGCCATGGTTTGTGGCTACGTGGAGAATGAGATGAGCGAGGAGGCTTTGCAGCTGTTCCAGCAAATGCAGGACCAAGGATTCGTCCCAGATGCTCGAACTTATGCCGCTGCATTGAACGCCTGCAGCAGTCTCGAGGCAGGAGGGAAGTTCTGCAGGGAGTTTTGTTTGGAGAAAGGCCGGGCTATTCACTCTCAGCTGAAAAGAACTCCGCACAAGCTCGACGTCTTCGCAGCAAATGCTTTGCTCGACATGTACGCAAAGTGTGGCAGCATGGAAGACGCACGGCTGGTGTTCGACAGTATGCAAAGCCACGACGTGGTTTCGTGGAACTCGATGATCCTGGGATACGTCCAGAACGAGGAGCCGGAGAAAGCTCTTCGGGTTTACGAGCTCATGCAAGCGAGGGGCTTCGAGCCGGATGCCGGGACAGTTGCTGCTGCTCTCAAGGCTTGCGGAAACTCGGTAGCTCTGGATGCCGGCAGGGCGATCCACGCCAGAGTTTTGGAGTCGGAGGCTCTCAGCTCTGAGACGTTAGTGGTGAATTCGCTGGTGAGCTTCTACGGCAAGTGTGGGAGCATGGTCGAGGCTCAGGAGGTGTTTGATTGTCAGAGCTCGGCGAGCAAGGACGTGGTGACTTGGAGCTCACTCATAGCAGGATACAGCCTCCAGGGAGACAGTGGCAGAGTTTTGGAGCTCTTCGAGAGGATGGTGGAGCGAGAGAAGCTGGAGCCCAACGGGATCACGTATCTCTCGGTCCTCTCGGCTTGTGGTCACGCTGGGCTGGTTGCAAAGGGGAAGGAGATCTTCCAGGCGATGGAGAGCAAGGCGGGGTTTAGTCGGCCTGGAGTGGAGCACTACTCGTGCATGGTGGACATGCTGGGACGAGCCAATCACTTGGAGGAGGCGGTAGAGATGGCCAGGTCCAAGCCAAGCGTGACGGCGTGGATGGCTGTGCTGGGAGCAGCTCGCAAGTGGGGGAACGTAGCCATCGCCAGGGATGCGTTTGAGGAGGTGGTGAAAGTGGGAGGAGGGGACGAGGACTCGGCTCCATACATTCTCATGGCCAACACGTACGCCAGCGTTGGAATCAAGGAGGAGAGCCGCGGGTCGGGCATGGGATAAGCGAAAAAAAACTCCTGCATTACATTCTTGAGACCTTGTTTCTATGCTGACACATTGTTTAAACTTTTTTAAAAATTATAATAATAATAATTATTATTATTATTAAATTTTTGTTCTTATTATAACTAAAAGGTTTCAGGTGCAAGATTATACAAAAATATAATAATCGCGAATTTAACATAAGGCTTATCCCTTATGATCCCGATCTGATTGCAGAATGACTGCTCCTCTGCGGGTTAATGAAACAGGGGAGATGAGGTATTTATACTATAGGGGATCACGTTTTTTATTTCCATGTATGTTTACTTGAACATAGCCACATACTTTGCATCAAAGAGTTTTTATTCACCATCCAGAAAGATAATATTTCTTAAAATTTCTTGCCAAGAAAAATTTGAGAATTATTCTTGAGACAACATTCTGGAGACCTTGTTTCTATGCTCATGCATCCCAATGTGTTTTCGATATAGACTCTGTTTTTGCAATGAGTTTGCCTGCAGATCCCCAACTCCACACTAACAGTAGAGTGGGTCCTCATGACTTTAAATAACTGTTATTATTATTACTACTGAGTGTACGAATGTATGGGCTCATTTACATTCCATAACAGTAGATTTAACATAAGGCCTATTAGCTCAGCCGGTCAGAGCGTGGTGCTAATAACGCCAAGGTCGCAGGTTCGAAACCTGCATGGGCCATATACCCGGTTCCTGCCTAGAGCCATTGCATGACTTTCATGCGGTTTCTTTTGGTGATCTCGCGGAATGGGAATTAGCAAACAGGAAGAAGAAAATGACTAATTCATTCCCATTGTCTAATGGGCATTTGGTCTAGTGGTATGATTCTCGCTGTGGGTGCGAGAGGTCCTGAGTTCAATTCTCAGAATGCCCCTGTCTAATTTTTTCTGATATTTTACTGCAGTTCTTAGGACAATACGGATCACCATGCCAAGTATGTGGCTATGTATAAAATATAACGTACATGAATGGAACCACAACAAATTCAAGATCCCAAACGACCAATCTGTCTACGTCCTCTGATCAAGCCCACTGATTTCTCCAAGGGATTCGGAACGAGTGGCGGAGCTGGGAGAGCTGAAATCCGGCAAGCTTGGACCATACTATAAAAATTGGACTGGACAAAACTCGCCGTTGCCGGGGATTGAACCCGGGTCATCCGCGTGACAGGCGGAAATACTCACCACTATACTACAACGACATTTACATAGAGACCGATATTTAGTAAATTTCTTCTATTTAATGCTATTTTAAGAAATTTGTGTGATTGCTAATTCAAATTTTAGGGTTCTTGATGTCAAGTCCGAGTTTCCGAGTGCCGAGCAGCTGGACCACGTACAAGTTTTCAAGGCCCAGCGCCTGTTCAAAGCCTTCTGCAACAAGTCGGGCAACATCACCAAGGAAAAGTGGGACGAGTTCCTGGACCGTGCATCAATTCAGAGCTGCTGCTTATACCCAACACTTCCACGACTTTTGCTGGCTGCTCAACTTCATGGTTGCCTGCCAGAACTGGTTCCCGCTGGTGATTGCACGGGATCAACAGCGCCATGGAGAGATTGGACGTGGCATCGCAGCCGCTGGCCGAGCTCCAGACGAGCACGGATGCTGCCATGCTTTGCCTCGTCGAGACTAGACTCGCCGTTTTGATACTGGGCGAGGAGATGGCCCTCATGAAAACACCTGTGACTCCCGCAGAGGATCTAAGCGAAGCCATGGATCATCTGAGACATGCGCTGGCACGGAATCCAGCCTGATGGGAGGCACACGCTTGGCTGGCTTTGGCGCAGTGGAGGAGCAAGGAAGCTCATGAGGCGATCCTGTCGGCAAGGAGGTCCTTGATGCTCAACAGGCAGCAGCCCCGGATGTGGAGCATCCTGGGTGGCATGCCTTTCGAGACTGGCTACTCCATGTATGCAGGCTTTGCGTGGGCGCATGGGGCGGCACTGGGAAGCTACTCCGCAGCTATGCAGTATGGGCAGGCTGTGTCCGATGGCGACAACAAGGCTGCGTCCGCGTTCAAGCTCGCAATGCGCTTGGCCAGCACTGGCGATGAACAGGCCGAGGCGGAGAAGTTCTTCCGTGATGTGGTGGCCAGGAACCCTTCGTGTGCGAAGTTGCACCCCTGGAGGTTCATGGCGGAACAGGTGCTAACGAGGGTGATCGTCTCTTGTTCTGATCTGATCGTGCATTTGCGTGCAACGATCGTACTTAGAATTGCTAGTACTTCTATTGTCTCTGTTGATTCCAAGGTTTTTTACATTTAAACTTCGTCTCTGACTTAACTCCTGCTTTCTCCACACTTCTAGAAGATCAAGACTGTAAGGAAAGATTCTTGGTGCTAGCTTGATCAAGACCTTTGGGAAGCCATCGAAGATGGTCCCAGACCGCTGCATGGGTCTTCGTGTTTTCTTTGATAACGTCTTCCCGTGTCTCTCGTGGCCCGCATTCTTGTTTGCTGCGTGAAAGCAGATGGTGCTGGACATGAAGTTTGCGGTTGCCACTCCTCCTTGGACATCTTGGCGGCATTTGACGCACGAGCTATTGCTGCGACTGTCGAAAGGCAATTGGCAGATTGTCTGGAGTGTAGTCCTCGATAGCCGCACCTAGAACTCCATGGACCGGAGTGGCCACTGCGGTGCTGGCCAAGCACAATGTAGTCCAGGCAACACGATGTTTTGTGTCACTGTGCTCATGGTTGTCTATGGGAAGGAAATCGCTAACACCCACCTGGTAACATACAGCGTCCGGAGCCGGATGTTTGCGCTTGGACCGCGATGCTATGAGCATATGCCCTGAGCAGGCATCTTGGTCTCGACAAATCTACGTTCGATCAAATGCCCGAGCCAGATCTCTTCGTTTTCAACGCGTCATCACGGCTTTTTCGAGGTGCGGCGAGTCTCTCCTCGATTCCATGCTGGAGAGAAACGTTGACTTTCTACATGGCGATGCTCCAAGCATATTTCCTGGCTGGGCATCTGGCCGATTCGAAGACCATGTTTGATAAGATGCCTCAATGCAACGTCGTTGATGTAGGACACAATATACAGAGAGAAATATTATATCCTATACTTTTTCCTGCCTGAGATCATCCGGCTGCCACCCGAAATACTTACAAACCTCCTCCAGTGACTTGCCTTTGGTCTCGGGCACCACGAAGAAAACAAACCCGATGGATGCAAGCGCGATGGAGGCGTAGACGAAGAAAGCCCCGGACGTGGTGAGCGCCCCGGCCAGGCTCAAGTAAGTCAGCGCCACGGCCCCGCTGATCGCCCTGTTCATCCCGATGGACAGGCTCATCGCCCGGGCCCTGAGAGTGAGCGGGAAAACCTCCGACGTCAACACACACACCGTCGGCCCGAATCCAATGGAGAAGCTCGCCATGAATCCGCAGATGGCGAGCATGGCGATGACCACCACCGCCACCGACGCGTGCTCTGTACCGCTCGTGTCCACCTTCGTACCGACGTGAAGGAAGCGGAACGTCACCGCTACCGTGGTGAGCGCGAGGGTCATCCCGGTTGCACTTGCCAGGAGCAGCGGCCTGCGTCCCAGGCTGTCGAGCCAGATGGTGGCCACCAGGATGGTGAGAGTTTTCGTCAGGCCGACGGCGATGGTCATGCCCAGCACGCTCGTCCTGCTCTTCATCCCCGCCTGTGCGAACACCGTGGGGCTGTAGTACACGAGAGCGTCCACGCCCGATGCCTGCTGGAAGAAGTGAATTCCCAGTGACACCAGTAGCATCCTGCGCACCGGAGCCGACGGTAGCAGTAGCTGCTTCCAGACGTTGCTAGCTTTCCTTCTTCTCCTCGGCTCAAGGAGCCCTTCCGGATCATCCACCTTTGAGGAGGTGAGTTCTTCTCCTTTCTCTACCTCGTACTCGTCTCCCAGTGACTCCACTATCGCCGCGAGCCTCGACTCCGCCTCCATCTTGTTCCCAGCGCACGTTTTCAGGAGAATTGCCTTGGCTGGAGAGAGCCTACCTTGCATCACCAGCCAGCGAGGAGACTCGGGCATCACCAGCACGGCGCAAGCCAGGAACACGGAAGGGACGGCGCCGACTCCCAGCATCAGCCTCCATCCGAGCCACTCGGGAAGCGGCGAGAGTGCAAAGTTCGCTACGTATCCAAGCAGGACCCCGATGTTGACGAAAAGATCGGCAGACGAGCCGAGGGATCCCCTGCTTCCGGGAGGAGAGAGTTCTGCCGTGTACACTGGAGAGATAGTAGCAAAGCCGACCCCCAACCCCGATAGAACTCGTCCCGCCATGAGCACCGCGTATGAGGGAGACAATGCCATGAGCAAGGCAGCGACGAAGAAGATTGCAGCGGCTGTAGCCATTGTCTTCCTTCTTCCCACCGCATCAGCCACCTTCCCGGCCATGAGCCCACCCACGAGAGTCGCCAGGCTGAGAATGCCAACCAGTACTTCCTGCTGCACGCTGTTGAGCTCGAAGTAATCTTTGATGTAGAGCAAGGCACCACTCATGACACCAATATCTGGATATATGAATTGAGAAGAAAGAATGAGAATCAAGGCATGTCCAGAAGGAAGAAGAACGTACCATATCCGAGCAGTAGAGAGTTGAGAGAAGCCAGCAATGTACAAAACACCACATACTTGTTGTAGTTTTCCTTCTTTCCACCGGGGGCTTCTGCTGGATTGTCTGCTGAGAGCTTTTCGTCCAGGTTTCTAGCCGAATCGAACAGGGATGTCGTTCCAGATCGTGAGGACAGGGCGAGTTGGGGGCGCTCTTCCATGGCAAGATTCCAGACAATCGAGACAAAAGAATGACAACCAAGCAAACATTTGCAAAGACTTACTTCAAAGTTATGGAAGTCAATGCAGTCAACTTAAAAGTATTTCATTAGCATGAAGCCTTGGACTTTGAGCTCAACTTGATTCTAGAGGAGCTTTGGCTTAATCAAATTTCCAGGACGCGGCTGATCACAGTACCGGTGCCTTGTATGGTGATTTTGTGACTATCAAACACATTTACCACTGCGTGAGCCTGTGAGCCTGTTGGAGCTTCCAAGATGGCTTGCACGGTGACAAAGTGCTTGCCATTGATACATGCGTAGCCACCCGGATGGTGGTGCCCTGCAGCAAACAATTCACACAAGAATACTATTGAATCAGCCAAATCCTCGAGCTTACCACACAGAAACAGTACAAAGGCTGAGCTTTCCACGAGCACTGAGGAGATCTGAGAAAGCAAGAAGAAGAAATTTATAACTTCTTTGCTTTCTTACCTCTTGATGGTTCCAAGCTAGAAGGCCGTCCGGAGCCGAGCCGGCTACTACCGGATGGTGTGCCGCTACAATAAGTTTGATCTTGTTCCTAGAATTTTGGACAAGATGATAATGGAGACATGGAAATCTTGGAGAAAAAGATTATATACCTCTCTGCGTTTGCTATCACTTCTTTGAGCCAGCACATTTGGATGGATCCAATGCCACCGTTCGACAAAGACATTTGGGGATGATCGTCGCCCAAAGGATGTGCGTGAAGAAATTCCGTGGCTTCCTGTTAGTGTTGATAAGTTAAAAAATTCTTGACACCATGGCGAATGAGTAAAAGCTACCTTGAAGTTTTGTGTGTCCTCCGACCACTTCGTGCTCATGTCCATTGTGTCAAGAACTACCTGAATGAAAGAAGAAAACGAGAAAAAGAACGTGTCCAATGCGATAATTTCAAGCTTACCAGAGACCAAGCATGGGTGATTTTGTGCACGTAGTAAGAAGCTGGCATCCCAAGTTGTGCCATGACTGATTCCCTCGGCAATGACAAGCAGTGGTTTCCCAAAACATGGAACGCTGGGAGCTCCAGCTGAGAAACAAAAGAAAAACTCAGTTGCGATTCCCGAAGTTTGTAAAATTAAACAAGTAAAAACCTTTTGAAGTTCAGCCAGGATCGTCTCAAAGTCTTCGGTGGTTTTCTCTGGCGAGACGTTCCCATCGATTATGTCTCCGAGAGAAAGAACAAACCTGGCGAGCCAAGGTTATTACTTTCGCCATGGAACACAATTTTCTAGCTTTGCTACTCACTCCAATTCGCTCCTTCTAGAGTTGAAGTCCATCACAGCTTTAGACAGTTTCTCTGGAGCCTCCCTGTATCGTTTGATGCGTCCATTGCCTTCCGATGCCTCTGGAGTAGAAAGGAGTTCCAGTTAATAAAGAAAAGAACGAGCAGGGAGAAAAATGTAAGCTACCAGCATCGTCTTTGTCCCCAAATTGAACATCCGCAATCACTCCAAACGAAAAGGATGGATCATCCTCGGCCATGGAGAGAACACTAGTACTATACTACTATCAGCACTGCTAAAACGAAAGACTAAGTCAGTTTTGGCTTGCTCTTGGCATCTTTTTCGTTTAGATCAATGCTCTATGACAAAATCCAAGCTTACCACCTTTTCTCCGTTTGACCATGGCAGGAGCATGATCGCTCCAAGAAATGCTTGTCCTGGCTAGAATCAGGGGGCAACTTAGTGGAAAGTGGAACAAAGTGGAAAGAAACAAGCTTTCATAGTAATGGCGTTCTTACTCACCGTCGCGGTGCTGCTCGCGGCGTGCTCTCTCTCCGGCACTCGATCGCCCATCCTAGAGGCGAGCGTGGAAGAAATCCAGCAGGCCTTCCGGTCCGGGAGCCTCACCTCGCGCGAGATCGTCGGCTTCTACCTGGATCGAATCGTCCACCTCAATCCCACGCTCAACGGAGTCATCCAGCTCAACCCCGACGCTCTTGCCCTGGCCGATGAGGCAGACGCACAGAGGCGGCAAAGCAGCGCAGTTGCTCAGGGGCTCCATGGAATCCCAGTGCTGCTCAAGGACTCCATCGCCACTGCCGATAGGATGGGCACCACTGCGGGCTCTCTGGCCTTACTGGGCTCCAAAGTTCCTCGGGACGCTGGCATTGTGGCCAGGCTCCGGAGGGCCGGAGCGATCATTCTTGGCAAGACCAACCTCAGCGAATGGATGAACTTTCGATCCACAAACTCCACCAGCGGCTGGAGTGCGCTTGGCGGTCAGACAAAGGTATGACCTCGGATCCATAAGTTCTCAGTGATCTTTCACATTCTTGCCATAGAATCCTTACAATCTGGACGAAAGCCCGTGCGGATCCAGCAGTGGCTCCGCGGTGGCGGTAGCGGCCAACATGGTTTCGGTCTCGGTAGGGACCGAGACGGATGGATCGATCCTCTGCCCCTCAAGCGTGAATGCGGTGGTGGGAATCAAGCCCACGGTCGGCCTCACAAGCCGAGCTGGCGTCATCCCAATCTCGCACACCCAGGATACGGTCGGGTAAGCCCAGTCAAACACGGTCAATTTTGTCAAACCCGATCAACGCTGGCCGAGCTTTTCGCAGGCCGATGTGCCGGAGCGTGGCGGATGCCGTGGCGGTGCTGGACGCCATAGCCGGAGCCGACCCGAGAGACCGGCAAACTCTATTCATTTCCAAATACATCCCTCGGGGAGGATACAAGCAGTTCTTGAGGCGGGATGGGCTTCGCGGTAAGCGGCTTGGCATTGCTCCTGTTCCTTTCTTTCAGGGAATCCGGGAGGACGAGATTGCCGCCGTAGACAAGATGATCTCAATCGCCAAGTTAAGTTTCACGAGCCTCTTCACTCATCAAACTGTCTGATCCATCCCCAGATCTCGTGGAGCGGTGATTGTCGAGAACTTGACGCTCCCTCACGCAGATGAGATCCTCTCGGGCGTGAGCGAGGATCTGGTTCTTCGTACGAATTTCAAGGTGGAGCTCAACCAGTACCTTGCTCAGCTCGTCAAGAGCCAGGTCCGGAGCCTCGAGGACGTGATCAAGTTCAACATCCAGCACGCTGACAAGGTAAGTGGACGACACTCTCGTAAAAGGACCACCTTTCACAAACTTCTTTCCAAGTTTCCAGGAGATGAAGCTCTTTGGCCAGGAAATATTCCTCGAGTCACAGGCAACCAAAGGCACGCATTCCAAGGACTACAAGGAGGCCGTCAAACGAAATCAGTTCCTCACAAAGCATGGGATTGATCATCTTTTTGAGACGCACAAGCTGGATGCGCTGATCGGAGCAATGCCATCTCTCATGACTGCTCCTGCGGCGATTGCTGGCTATCCTGCCATCACCATTCCTGCGGGATACCTCTCCTCCACGGGCGTTCCATTTGGAATTGGAATTCTGGGAACCAAAGGCTCTGAACCAACTCTTATAGAGATTGCTTTTGACTTGGAGCAGGCAACCCTTGTCCGAAAACCTCCACCTTCGATGTAAATAGTTCGTGGATTTCATGCTGTGTAGAACTTCAATGCTGGAGTTTGCGGGATAGAATGTTTCTAAGCACATACAACGTGATGAACTTTTACATGGGTTTTCATGATCAAGTTCCGTCACTAATCTTCACCAGCTCGATCTCGAACAGCAATGGTTTCTGGAAGCTATTCATCAGCCTCCGTCCAGCTGCGGCTGTTGTTGGCTGAGGCTGCATTGATTCTTGGGTCCAGCCCAAGTCTGGATTGACAAGAATTCTCCGCTTTCCCCCGAGCTTCATGCCTTCCATGCCGAGTTCTACAGCTCGAGGAACCTGGAAGTTCCAAAAGGTCACACTTTTTTCTCCATGCCAAGCATTACATCTTACTGTTCTTCCACCCAGTTGGAACGTTAGAACGTCTCCAACGTCGTCTTTGCCTTCGTTCCCGTAACCCAGCGAATCAAGATACATGCTGTTTCTTCGATGCGTGAGACTCGGAAAGATCATGGGCAGCGGACTCTTACCCGTTTAATCGATATATAACGTATTGAACCGAGACGACATCGCCGGGGGCCACTGTTCTTCCCGAGCCAGCGTCGAGTTCTCTAAATCTGATCGATGAAAGGATGTGACAAGGAGCGAGATCGATCGAGAAACTTACCTTATTCCCGATGGCAGAGTTATAATTGGACCCTGGGCTCTCTCTTTCTCCTCGCGACGAGCTTCGCCGGCCTCCCTTGCCTCTTCCAAGTTTGTGTAGAGCTTCCTGGCACTGCAAAACGCAAAAAATCTATGCCAGAAGAACAGCGAGGAAAGAAAATAAGACCTCGGCGAAGAGGGCAGTGAGAGCGCTGAAGCTGCCGCAATTCCATGGCCCAGGAACAAGATTTCTCTGCGTGTTCGCCTCACACTCTCTGCAAGAACACAAAATCTACTCTCTAAAGCTCTATCAAAATCTTACCTTGGGCTTGACAGTAGAATTGAGTGGAGTAGCAGCGAGCACGGAGCAAAGTCGTCATAGAAAACCAGATTAAACTCTAAAATGGTTGTTGGCATGGTAGATCTTCCAAGAGCAAGATGGATGAGATGGGCCATACCATAAACCCAACACGATTTTATCGTTGAAAGTCCTCCCTTGCCTAGGGGCCTCGCTTTTTTCAATCCCTCCAATTGCTAGCCTAGTTAGAATGTCGCTGCGAGTACCATTCGATGATCCGATGCCGCGGCGGTACTGGCAGCAATCGGGCGCTGGCAATGGCGCCGCTCCTCCTCTTCCTCCTCCTCCTCCTCGGCCTAGGGTTATCGCCGATCGCGCTGGGAGCCGGCGTGGACGCCAGGAACTGGGGCACCGATGAGCACCATCGCAAATTCTCGGGCGTCATCATCCCCGGATTCATGTCCACGCGCCTCCGCTCGTGGTCGCTGCTGGATTGCCCCTTCTCGCCGCTCAATTTCAACCCGCTAGACCCGGTGTGGCTCGACACTAGAAAGGTGAGCTCCCACTCTTCTTAGTTTGGTCGCGAGCTTTCTATATACTAGCAATGATTGATGGTGCTCGCACAGGTCTTGTCGGTCCCATACTGCTGGATGAAGTGCATGGTGCTGGATCCCGTGAACCAGACGGATCATCCAGAGTGTAAATCGCGACCCGACAGTGGCATCGCCGCGATCAGCGAGCTTGATCCAGGCTATATCACTGGTAAGAGGAGGAGAGTTCTTTCTATATCTCGATTGAGTCGTAGAGCTGTATGGTCTTTTGCTTGTTTGGTCTTCTTTTTTCTCTCAGGGCCTCTTTCCTCGGTCTGGAAGGACTGGGTTGCTTGGTGCGTAGAATTTGGAATCGAGGCGGAGTCTATCGTCGCGGCACCGTATGACTGGAGGCTCGCGGGGTCTGCTCTTGAGGCACGAGACCTCTACTTTCACAGGCTAAGGTTTGAGAAACTTCTCGTTCTTGTTCTAGTTCCTTGTTCTTGGAGCTGACAACTACTTTCTCGTCCAGGCTAACTTTCGAAACATGTCGAAAGCTTCGAGGGGGCCCGTCGCTCGTCTTCGCTCACTCGCTCGGGAACAACGTGTTTCGGTATTTTTTGGAGTGGCTCAAGCAAGAGATTGCTCCAAAGGACTACTTGATGTGGATCGATGATCACATATTCGCATATCATGCTCTTGGTGCGATGCGATGGAACTGTGCTTTTGTGTTGGCGTTTCTCAGCTGGTTTCTTCTATCGCAGGTGCGCCATTCCTGGGAGCTGCAGAAACAGTGAAAGGGTGGCTATCTGGAGTGACATTTGGGCTTCCTATTGCCGAGGTTTGGAGCTTTGTTTTGCTGATTGTTTTTTCTCATGATCGTATCAGGGGACGGCCAGGTCGATGCTTTCAACTTTCAGCTCGGGATTATGGATGCTACCATTTTCTCCGAGCTGTGTTCCCCCGACGAAAGCATGCTGCTGTACAGGGCGAGATTCCTGCAATGAGGACGATGCTTTCAGCTGGCCTATGGACGTTCTTAAGATCGACGTGCCGATGGATGCTGGTAAAGACGTGTAAAGCTTTCCAACTCTTTTTTACTGTTTTTCATCCTCTCTTCTTTCTCAGGTGTCTCTTTGGAGTTGAACCCGTTACCAACTTTACCAGAGTGTTCTCTTCCTTTTCAGCGAACCTATCCTGCTCAGAAAATAGCAGATGGAACTATTTTCCTAGAGAACCTGGATATTGACGCAGATGGAAAATCCGCATTTGAGCTGCTCAAGAAGTGTGGGACGAGTTCGAGTTTATCTCCGCAACTAACATGCGTGCTTTTTTTCCAGATACTACTTGGATGATCCTGTACTTAATCCACTCACCCCATGGGAGAGACCACCTATCAAGAACGTGTACTGTATCTATGGCGTCAATCTGAAAACGGAGGTAAATAACAAGCCATTCCTGATGTTTATGGAAAGTAACATCAAGCAATCATCAGGTTGGGTATCATTTTGCACCGACTGGGAGGCCATTTCCAGACAATTGGATGATGAAAGATGTCTTTTATGAGACGGATGGCACTCTTGTGTCGAGGTAATACAAATTTCGCTGTTGCTGTTGTTTTAAGGAAATACTGTTCGTTCTCTTCTGCAGGTCGGGTGTAGAAGTGCAAGGATCTCCAAGTGCTGTAACCGGGGATTCAACGGTATCTGATGCTATTTGGCTCTAGAAGTTTAAAGTAACTTGGAACTTTCAGGTGCCATACAACTCGCTTTCGTGGTGTAAGACATGGCTGGGCGAACAAGTAAACGTGACGCGGGCTCCTCAGGTGAAGATTGTTGTCCTGTTGTTGCAACATGCTGTTGAAACGCGTTTCGGTTTTCTATCTTCAAGACGGCACACGATGGCTCAGACGTCCAAGAGCTTTTCAACGTTGAGCATCGCCCTGGAGGCGACATTCCTGTCAACGTGAGCCGAGACAACAGAATGAAGTATATCACGTACTATGAAGATGCGCTGTCCATACCCGGAAAGAAGACCGCCGTCTGGGAAGTCGACAAGAGTAAGTGTTGTCTTGGATTACATTTGTGTTCGTCGGGAGTAACTTGGTTGTGCAGTCGACCACAGAAACTTGGTTCGATCTCCGGTTCTGCTCAGGGAGCTTTGGCTGGAGATCTTGCACGACTCCCATCCTCAGGCAACCCGAAGTTTTGTGTCCAAAGGTACAACTTCAGTGTGACTAAAGAGTAGAAAACACGACGCTCATCTTCGATGAAAAGCAGCCAAGAGGGAACCTATGCGAGACGAGGATTGCTTCTGGGACTACTCCAAAGCACGGTGTGCTATGATGCAGCGATGCGAATACAGGTAGGCGTCGTTGTTGAATCGAGCTACACCTGAAAAAAACTCATGTCACAGGTATGTCTTTGGCGACGTCCATCTCGGACAGAGCTGCCGGTTGAAAGCTTCAACTGGCACACACATTTTACATTACTTGTAAAGGCGAGATACGCAGAACTTAGAGTTGGCTAACTGTAGATTCTTTGATAACTTTGGTTCCCATCTTCAAACTTGAGCTCGAGCAATCCCAGCCGTTCGTAGAGCTTAAGAATCCGACGGTCTGAATTTAACTTAGGTTGACCCGCGAATATGCTTGCAACGGCTCAAAGAATATCCCAGTGATCCTAGGGCATTTTATCCAATCGGATCACATATGTGTGGCGTTGTGAGCGGCAGCCATGGCGCTGCTGCCTCACAATGCATCGTAGCGCCACAACCCTCGCCATCGCCAAATCCCCGCCGAGGAGGAGGAGGAAGCGCAGCAGGTAATTGCAAGCCGCTACTCGCCGAGGATCCCCGATCAATCTCCGAGGCGCTGGAATCGCTGAGGCCAGGCCAGAGCGTCGTCGCCGCCCTCCGCGGCTGCAAGGGCCGCCTCCACCCCTCCGTCGCGGCCGCCATTCTCGCCCAGCTCGACGGCAATGCCGAGCTTGGCACCCAGTTCTACGACTGGGCCGCGGCTCTCCCGGGTTTCAAGCACACCATCTTCTCCTTCAACAAGTACCTCAATCTCCTCGTCAAGTCAGGCTCCCCCGCCAAGGCCATCGATCTCTTCCGCTCGCGCCTCCCGCCACGCTGCCGCCCCAATCACTTCACCTACAGCACGCTCCTCCGCGCGACTTACAAGGCCGGCGGCGACGTCGAGAGGACTCTCGGCTTCTTCCGCCGGATCCGGAGCTCCTCGCGCTCGGTTGCGGACTACAACATCGTGCTCCAGTCGCTGTGCCGCGCCGGCGAGACCGCCCGCGCGCTGGAGATCTTCCGTGGGGAGATGGCTCGCGACGGCGTAGCTCCCACCATCGTGACTTACAACACGATCATCAATGGGCTGTGCAAGAGCAACGAGCTTGGCGCAGGGATGGAGCTCTTCGAGGAGCTCGTGGAGAGAGGCCACCACCCCGACGTGGTGACTTACAACACGCTGATCGATAGCTTGTGCAAAGCCGGGGATCTGGAGGAGGCACGGCGGCTCCATGGCGACATGAGCTCTCGAAGTTGCGTCCCAAACGTCGTCACCTACAGCGTGCTCATCAACGGGCTGTGCAAGGTCGGCCGGATCGACGAGGCGCGAGAGCTCATCCAGGAGATGACGCGGAAGAGCTGCGACGTTCTTCCAAACATCATCACTTACAACTCGTTCCTCGACGGCCTTTGCAAGCAGTCCATGACGGCCGAGGCGTGCGAGCTGATGAGGAGCTTGCGAGATGGGAGCTTGAGAGTCTCTCCAGACACCGTGACTTTCAGCACGCTGATCGACGGGCTGTGCAAGTGTGGCCAGATCGACGAGGCTTGCAGCGTCTTCGACGACATGATCGCGGGTGGCTACGTTCCGAACGTTATCACCTACAACGCGCTCGTGAACGGGCTGTGCAAGGCGGACAAGATGGAGAGAGCCCACGCCATGATCGAGAGTATGGTGGACAAGGGCGTCACCCCGGACGTGATCACCTACAGCGTCCTGGTGGACGCCTTTTGCAAGGCCTCCCGCGTCGACGAGGCTCTGGAGCTCCTCCACGGCATGGCGTCGCGGGGATGCACGCCAAACGTGGTGACTTTCAACTCGATCATCGATGGACTCTGCAAGTCGGACCGATCGGGCGAGGCCTTCCAGATGTTCGACGACATGGCGCTCAAGCACGGCCTGGTCCCGGACAAGATCACGTACTGCACCTTGATCGATGGTCTCTTCCGGACGGGGCGGGCGGGTCAGGCCGAGGCGCTGCTCGACGCCATGCCCGACCCGGACACGTACGCTTTCAACTGCTGTATCAACGGACTTTCCAAGCTCGGGGACGTGTCGAGAGCGCTCCAGGTCTACAACCGGATGCTGGAGCTGGAGCTCGTGCCTGACAAAGTCACCTTCAACATTCTTATCGCGGGGGCTTGCAAGGCCGGCAACTTCGAGCAGGCATCCGCGCTCTTCGAGGAGATGGTGGCCAAGAACTTGCAGCCGGACGTGATGACTTTCGGGGCGCTCATCGACGGGCTGTGCAAGGCGGGACAGGTGGAGGCCGCGCGGGACATCCTCGATCTCATGGGGAATCTGGGAGTTCCTCCAAACGTGGTGACTTACAACGCGCTTGTCCACGGCCTGTGCAAGTCGGGCCGGATCGAGGAGGCCTGCCAGTTCCTGGAGGAGATGGTGAGCTCCGGCTGCGTGCCCGACTCCATCACTTACGGCTCGCTCGTCTACGCGCTCTGCCGGGCCTCGAGAACCGACGACGCTCTCCAGCTCGTGAGCGAGCTTAAGAGCTTTGGCTGGGATCCCGACACCGTGACTTACAACATCCTCGTGGACGGGCTGTGGAAGTCGGGCCAGACCGAGCAGGCGATCACTGTTCTTGAGGAGATGGTCGGCAAGGGTCACCAGCCGGACTCGTTCACCTTCGCGGCTTGCTTCAGTGGTCTCCACAGATCTGGGAACTTGGCCGGGACGATGGAGCTGCTGCGAGTGGTGCTGGGCAAGGGGATGCTGCCGGACGCCACCACTTGCAGCTCCATCCTCGACTGGGTTTGCCGGTCGGGAAAGCTAGACGACGTCAAGGCCATGATCAAAGAATTTGAGGCTTCTTCTCCAGCCGCGGCTGCTCTATCTCTGTGCGCTGCAAGGGTGGAAAAAGGTTCTTTGGCAGGAAAAACTTGTACAGACGAAGTATCCGGTGAAGTTTGTGTATAAGAATACCCTTCCTTACAAACAAATCACAAAAGAAGCTATTACAGTCTAGGAAGTACTTCGCAAACGTTTTGTTTGATTTAGAAACTACAAGAGGTGATACGTTGCCCGATTCGTGTAGGCTCAGGCATTGCGAACTAATAGAGCCAGTGATGCAGTTTCTCACGCGCGAAAGAAATGCGACCAGGAAGGAAAAAGAGCAAGTCTAACAGCACCCGGAAGCATTCGTAGCGTGGCTTTAGTGACCAGTTCGCCACAACTTCGCTGCAGTGAATCACAACCTCTTTTACTTGATGAAGTCCAAGTAAATCCTTGAGAACCATCACGTTGGGTGGTGTGGAATCATGCACGTGAAGATGAACAGTCATATCCTTGCACTTGGTGACACCTCCAGGCACAACTGACTGCAACACAGATCGAACCTGCAGTCAGTATGTATTGTCTCCAAAGCCAAACAAAGAGAAGAGACTGTCCATGGTCATCTTGTGTTCGCTGTTAACTGAGGGAGCTTGGAGGTGTCACCAAGCGTAAGGATGTGGCTGTTCATCTTCACGTGCAAGATCCCACACCGCCCACCGTGATGGTTCTCAAGGATTTACTTGGAGTTCATCAAGTGGAAGACATCGTGATTCACTGCAGCCAAGTTGTGGCCGACTGGGAACTCCTGGCACTGAAGCCAAGCTACGAATGCTACCGGGTGCTGTTCGACTTGCTCTTCTTTTTTCCTGGTCGCATTTTTCACGCGTGAGAAGTAGCAATGCCTGATCTTTGTCAAGTTCTTATTGAAAATCAACTGCATGACTACTAACTTTCACGAAAGATGAATTGGTACCTCTTGTGGTTTTGCGAGTCACGATGTTGATGCTCGTCCTTGTGAGTTTTCTGCACAGGTTCCACTGGAGCTACCGCCACATGGAGAGGAGACTGGAGTTCTTCTCGCTCCTACCTCTTTGAAATAGAGAGAAAAGTTTATGGTAAGAGTCAAGGCAAGTGTCACAGCATGAAATCCTGCACCGGCGCCAGGGATTTGGAGAGAGGGAGGAGGATCCACATCCACACAGGATATGACTCCAATCCAATCCTCGTGTGGCCAGTAGCTTGATCAACATGTATGGGAAATGCGGCAATGGAGGCTCGATGGGTTTTCGATCGAATCCAAGACAGGGTTGTACTGGTCTGCGTTTCATTTGAGTGTTTTGCGTTGATCTTTCCTATCAAGAGTGGACAGCCATGATTCTTTCTTGCCTTAGATCTCTTTTCAAGATGATTCGTGTAAAAAGATGTGAGCTCTACTCTTACGTCCCCCATGCGCTGCTCCAGATGCTGCTAGCTTCGTGCCCGAGCCTAGAGGTTTTGAACAGTGTAACTCTTGCGTTGTGGACATGCGATGTGACAACCTTCGTAAGTTGGCGTTATATGAGGTGGATGCCATCGCCAATCTCTCCCAGTCTCGCCTATGGTTTTGAGGCTTGCTCCAATGCATTGACAGTGAACACAAGATGACCATGGATAGTCTCTTTTCTTTGTTAATCTGGAGACAATACAACTATTTCTTCATGTGGATCTTGACTATTCTTCTTTGGTTTTTTTTCTTTGTTAAATCTTACTGATTGATTTGTGTTACAGTCATTTGTGCCCGGAGGTGTCACCAAGCGCGAGGATGTGTCTCTACATACAAGATCCCACACCCCCCAACATGGTCTCCCAGTGATGTGGACCTCCTGAATCGCGGTGGAGTACACTGCTCCCCATTTGGTCCCATGGAGAGCTTCGAGGGAGAGCTTTGTGAGGGAGCCAACAGCAGTGACTATCTGGTCATCACCATCCTTGCTATACTCGAGCACAACAGTGAGTTCCTTGAGGCAGCTGGGAGCCTTGTACTTGGCACGGTGGAGAATGCTGGAGATTATATCCTGCTCCTCTGTGTAATCATCCACCTCCACGCTTTGCCCTCCAACCTATAATGAAAATGGGGCCCGGGCTTAAAAAAATTTACGAAATGCATCTCAGCTCACGGCAAGCAATGTGGATTTTTGAGGCAAGGCAGACTGATCTATAAAGATTCCTTCTTTCTTTGCAGATCACAAGCGATCTTGCCATGAAATCACTTTGATTATTTAGGGTTTAGGAAGAAGAAATTCACATAAGAAAAGTTCTGCCAACTTCAAAGTCTAGGCGAAGCACAAGCGTCAAAGGCCCCACGTATGACGCGCTATTCACAAGAAGACTTTGAACTAGTCGCGTTATGTATTGTAGGTCAAGAGGGTCTTTTTCCTATATAAATGATAAAATCGCCCAAACTTCCATTCTACTTGAGAGCTCGAGAAATAGGCAAGGAACACATCCCTATACACGCAGGATCACGAAAATGGTGCTATTTGGCGGAGAGGTAGCGCCAACTCAGAGGAGCGGCTTGCTTCTTCTTCTTTCTCTATTCCTGCTGCTTGCGATCTGGATCCCAGGCGGCGGTTGTAGCAGCGGTGTAGATTCATCCTATGAGGTCACCCAATACGGGTATGAAGCTCCTGGATCGATCCAGCGGATGATCCAGCCAGCGATTGGGTCGATTGGACGACGGTGGCTACTGGAGAAATCCAAATCCAGCAAGGAAACGATCACGCTCTCGCACGAGGCGATCGCTGGGATCGTGGTCGGACTGTTCCTCGCGATTGCCTTAGTGGTTCTTGCGGTCTATGTGTGCCGGACGCGCAAGTACGTCGCGCAGCGGCAGGAGGCGTCGCTGGCGAGAAGGAGAGCGGCGAAGCTGGGCGGGGCGGGGGTGGATCTCGAGGCCTATTCAGAGGAGGGCAGCAGCAGTGGCGGCCGCTCCTTCATGCCCACTCCAGAAAGACCTCTGTTTCCATCCAGCACTGGAAGATGAAGAAAGAAACTAATCGATTTGAGCCATAGACCAGAGCAATGTAAAGATACTTGATTTTTCTTGCGAATCAGCGTCGTATACAATTAATTTATGATTGTCAATTCGAGGGGGAGGTACACCTCCAAAGGGGTGGGTGGTGCCTAATTTACAAATAACACATATATTTCATTATTTGCCACATTTAGGGTTTGGTTTAGGATTCAAATCCTAAAAGACCTTGCTTGGAGAGCCCTTCAGCACAAGAGCTTTCAAGAAGTCTACAAGCCAGCTCTGTATAGATTAGGGCATCCCAGTGAATTCTAAACCATGGATCATTCCTAAACGTCCAGAATCTGAAAATGAAGCGAAGTTAACCAATCGATTCCTGAAGCAAAATCGCCATTCTTGTTTCTCGTGCTTCATCAAAATCCCAAGCCAACTAGTTTTTTGCTCTTGATCAGTATGTGCTAGTGAGAAGGACAAGGTCGATTGGATTTGTTCTTACCCCCTAGTCAAAAGGAGAAGCGATGGGATTTAACAACTTTCTGCAAAACTAGCAAGTCAAGCATGAAGTGTCTAAGCAGATTGACGAGGTGAAGGGGAGCCTCCTTGGGAAGTATCTGAGCTTTCTTGACAACTCACAGGATAATGCAAACCAGACACAACCAGGTTTCATATGCACTGAGCAGTAGTATGTGGCAATGCGGACGTGGCAAGACCCCATGTGACAATCACATTTTGATTGCTTTAATTGCTTTTATAGCAAATTGGCACACTTTTAAGATTATGGGGATAAGAAAAGTGCAAAAACATTAATAAAGTTACACATGGCAAGAAATTTGTGCTTGTAGGCTTGGGAAAAAATAAAATTCAAAATAAAATTCTATCATGAAATAATTTTCAATTCTTGATTTTGATTCGTATAATGTTTGTAATCAGCGATTGGCAGGTGATGAAATGCCCTGAGAACACGTGAATACAGGTACATGATGAAATGTAAGAACTCACAAAAACATGGAATATATTTATATAAATTCCTTTTTAAGAGAATCTTGAGAATATTTTTCGCATTATTCTCCATGACTCTGCAAGTGGAAGTCACCTCCACATGAATTGAGTTTGGATGTCACCTCCAAATCCCAAAAGAACTTGAGTTCAAATCCACTTATTTTTGTTGTCCTCGATTGTGTCCCTTTGGCTCCTCTCCTCTCGAACCAGCAGCAATGCTATGAGGTTACAGTGCCATAAGTGATCAACTGTGTCAATGCCTTTCTTGCAGCCCAAGTGAGTCAGTCAGGTGAGTTAGGTCAAGGGCATCCATCATCCTCAGCATCCAGATGGTTCGGAGGAAGCTCCTTTGCATGGGACAGGGGGATGGGAAGCATTCCAATTCCAAAGTAGGGATGACAGTGGATTATTACAGCAGTGTGCCATTGCTGCGTATGCATGTGAGTGAGTGACAACCAACCGTGTCAAGGACTCCAATGGAAGATATCTTGCTAGAAGAAGATGAAAATGATGAAGAAGAGAAGGATGAAGGCATTTGACAACAGGTTAATGCTGTCTGAAGGAAGGCCATTCACAGCATTGAATGGGATTAAAAGGAAGGCACCACATCGAAATGCTAAGGACACAGAAGCTGAATGAATTTGCAAGTTTGGGACCATTGTGAGAACGATGTAAATTGCGAGGTGGACATGAAGGTTCTGTGGGTATCATGGCTCCAATTCAGCAACGAGAGTGCGAACTCATATCATCTGCGTACCATGTAGAGGTACCATGTTATGCTCAGACTGTTTGTCTTTATGGAGGAATGCAAAAGCAATCCTGGAGAGGATTGACCATGTCTATATTGCAAAGAGGGGCCATTTTTGGGAAGCAAAGGGACGCAAGACAGAAATGGAATAGAATAGAGATTCTCATGCTCATGAAATGGATGAGGCAGATGAAATAATGTCCAGTCTATTTTGTACACCTCCACAATCCTTATTGGCAGGAGAAGAGTTGACAACACCAGCTACTTGGCCTCAGCACACAAGGAGGCTCCCAGAATTCTGCAGCAGACTAGACTCTTGTTGCAAATGCTAGATGTTCTACTAGCTTCAATTTGATGATGGCTCGAGCAGTTTACTCCTGATTAATCGTAGTAGCAATATTGCTATTACAAGTGGACTCAATGGCTGAAGAATAA